CAGCAGCAACAACAACAACACTAGAAGATGGTCCTATGCGCCAGCAAATATGTTTCCAATGGGAAATGCTATGGGACAGAGGCACTATTCCTCTCAGCAGGTAAATGATATGCCTTCCTTTTATTATTTCTCTTATTTGTCCTTTGTTTGGTTCTGTATTTCCATAATTATAAATGTATTGTGACTCCATGAAGAGAAAGCATGCAGTGAATTTTCAATGTATGATGGGCTCTCTCTGCAATGATCTTGTCTAAAACAATGTAAAAAAAATTTAATTTTTGTATATAAAGAAAATTTAATTTTTGTATGTAATGAAAATTTAATTCTTGTATGTAAAGAAAATTTAATTTTTGTATGTGAAGAAAATTTAATTTTTGTATGTAAAGAAAATTTAATTTTTGTATGTAAAGAAAATTTAATTTTTGTATGTAAAGAATATGTTTGGTGTCATGTAGGATTATCTCCTATAGTGTTGTACAGTATAGGGGTACTCTGCAAATTAATCATCTCTACAATAAATTTATTTATTTTTTCTTCCCTGAATTTTTTGTGGTCCTATTATTGTTATAGGTAACTGCAATGTTTGAGATGTTGCATACAGTGGGACCTTATTGAGAATGTAAATCTGATGATTAGTGCTTGGACATTGCCCCTGTTTGTTGTTTCATCCATATGTGCTTGGGATCATGTTTTCCAATGGACTTCAATGCAAAATATTTAATTGGTTCTCCTGTTTATCAAAAATTAGGAATAAGTCCCCCAAACATTGAATGAAAATTGTTTCCCTGAACTCATTTGGAATACAGAAAGTAGCTGAAGAAAAACCACACCGAATCCAATCATTTGGCATTAAAATGAGCTCAAAAAGCCAAGAACAAGTCTTGCTCTATACTCTGCATAGATGATAGAGAAAACTTAAAAAAGGAGCATAAAATCAGCTTGTTTTTGATTATAAATGAGATTGAATTTATACAGTACTGTGATGAAATCCATTTTCAATTTTTGTGAATACTGTATGTGAATACCTCATTTTGTTTGAGTGATATAAAATTTAAAATATGTTTTTTCTGAAAAATTCCAGCAAAATGTTTAAATTTTCTGGATGTTGGGGCAGGTTTTTTTTTTCAAGTGCCCCTAAATTGAATCATCACAACATCTGGGCATCCGCATTTCAGAGTCTCACTTTTCTCAGGCTGTTTAAATATGAGCAATTGAGAAGGTAAAACAATGTCTTTATGCAGGCATAAATCTGATTTGAATTTTTTAATAAATCGTTATATGCTCGTGCTGTACGCCAATATATTAATTTTCCTGACCCATCAGAGAGAATGAGGAAAACCTTGAACTACTGCTGCCCTCTGTGCATTACTCCAAAAATACTTCTCATGATTGTTCAGTGATATGCTTCATATTGAACCCGAGCAACTCACTTTCTTTTTTGCATCAAGCAAATGCCTTTTGTTACCTCATCGCGGGTAGAAAGTCCGATTGCTGAGTCATAAAGCTATATAACAAAGGGTGTTCTTCCTTTTTCTCGATCCCAGCACTTTGGAATCGGGAACCATGCAGCAGTTGCGAATGAAAGAAAAGAACCCGTTTGTTGCCCACATGAACGAAACCCGGTCCATAAAAATGGAAACCCTTCCTTATTCCATTTTATTCCTACTTTCACAGAAGCTGTGTCAGGAGAATGGAAAGACCCCGGAAATGACCGTGGAGCTGGACGAGCGGAATCATTGCAACGATCAAGTTGCGGATCCGCACTCGTGGTTCCCCAGCAAGAATGCCAAGCCGAGCAAGGAATCGCAACCGGGCTTCGGTGGCAAACACTTGTTCAAGCTCAGCAATAATGGCAAAGACAAGCTGCCGCAGAGACAGTTTTCTGACCAGACGGACGTCAGAGGGTCGCCATTGAAGCACTACGAGCTCAAGCAGCTGGATAAAGGGTGAGAGTCTCGTTTTATGTCTGACCTTATTGCTGCAGATAACATGTACAGTGACAATTTTACGACAATGCAATAAAGCCACTCCTGTGACCATGAAACACCTTTCTTTGTTGAAATAAAGTGGCACAATCTGTTGTTTCGATTAGAGTACTGTATAAGAGTTTCAGGAAGTCTCTGCTGAATTGCCAACAATTTTCTTCGATTGTAGCCCTGATTTGGAGAACTTCTTGATCTCCAATGGATATTCATTATGGATTTGTAAAATTTTCAGGATCAGACTTATTATTGTTTGCTATCATGCGGTTTAATTGATATATAAGCAGCGCTTGTACTGTCCAAAGTAAATACTGTCAATCCTCATTAAGCAGTCAACATTTGTTTGTGAGGTGTGTGAAGAATTCTAAAGGGGGTGGTTTATGTACAAAGAAAGCTAAAATAACATTAAAATCAAGTATGATTGGAAATGAAATTATTTTTCCTCAAGAGAAAAAGAAAAATCCTGAAATGAGTAAATTATACTATGTACTGTACTGAATTTTTATTGTTAGAAACCACTCACAGAAACTTGAATCTTATGGGCGGGCTATCAAAGGTAACATTTATTGGCAGGAGCATATTTGAGTTTTCAATAATTTTGGTAGATGACGTTTTAACGGGTTTTTCAATGCAATTATTATTGGGAAGACTTGTTTTCAAAATAAATTGACGGTTACCAAGGGTGGCGACTTATTTGGGGGGGGGGCGTTAAATGGGGTTCGGCTGTATTTATAGCAGCTAGAGGCCATTGCTCAAAAAGTCCATTACGTGATGCTTCTACTGTGTATTATTTCGGGGAACCATCAGGGAATGTGATATATTACCTATCTGTATTTTTCCACAGAGGGAATGTTCAAAGGCGAGCAAAGCAGATGGAGCAGCTGGGCTTGATGCAGACTGGGCCAGGCAGGGAATCTTACAAAGAACTGTCGGAAAGAGAAAGATTTCCGGGCTTGGACAAAGATTCAGCCCGGCTCAGCCACCACTTGTCCATGTCTCATCTATCAGCTGTACCATCATCCCACAACAACTCCAGGTCATCCAGGAATTTGCGCTGAATACAGTACATTCAAGTTCCCCCCGCCTCATCACCTGCTGACGTGTCTTTCAAACAACACGAAATCTTCTGTGCGTGCATTGCATGGATCTGCCCTAAATACACTTTTTATGAAATAAAGTGGCACAATCTGTTGTTTCGATTAGAGTACTGTATAAGAGTTTCAGGAAGTCTCTGCTGAATTGCCAACAATTTTCTTCGATTGTAGCCCTGATTTGGAGAACTTCTTGATCTCCAAGTGATATTTCATTATCGATTTGTAAAATTTTCAGGATAAGACTTATTGTTTCTTTCATGCAGTTTAATTGGTACGAAAGAAGTGCTTACTGTCCTAAGTAAATACTGTACAGTCAATCCTGATTCCTCAGTATAACCAGTGAAGATTTGTTTGTGAGCTGTGAAGCGGGTTAAAAGGGGATGGTTTTTGTCAAAAAAGCTAAAATAATATTAAAATCAAGTATTATAGGAAATAAAATTATTTTTCCTCAAGAGAAAAAGAAGAATCCTGAAATGCGTAAATTATACTATGTAGTATGTACTGTACTCATTTTTTATTGTTAGAAACCACTCAAAGAAACTTGAATATTATGGGCGGGCTATCAAAGACAACATTTAGTGGCAGGAGCATATTCGAGTTGTCAATAATTTTGGTAAGTGACGTTTTAACGGGTTTTTCAATGCGATTGTTATTGGGAAGACTTGTTTTTCAAAATAAATTGGCGGTTGCCAAGGGTGGCGACTTATTGGGGGGGGGGCGTTAAATGGGGTTTGGCTGTATTTATAGCAGCTAGAGGCCATTGCTCAAGAAGTCCATTACGTGATGCTTGTATATTATTTCGAGGAACCATCAGGGAATGTGATATATTACCTATCTGTATTTTTCCACAGAGGGAATGTTCAACGGCGAGCAAAGCAGATGGAGCAGCTGGGCTTGATGCAGAGTGGGCCAGGCCGGGAATCTTACAAAGAACTGTCGGAAAGAGAAAGATTTCCGGGCTTGGACAAAGATTCAGCCCGGCTCAGCCACCACTTGTCCATGTCTCATCTGTCAGCTGTACCATCATCCCACAACAACTCCAGGTCCAGGTCCTTAAACGCGACTTATGTCATGTAAGTTCAAGGGGGGCGGAGTAGTGGACGACTGCACAGAAAGTTTGTTGTGCTTTAGAAGACACGCACGTAACGTACCTAGACGGGATTTATGTGAAAAAGTGATCTGTATGATGGAAAAAACCACACACTTGCTTGCGCTTCCAGGCGTGAGACATTTCAGTGTCTCTGTGATTTGCTTGCAATTAATTGGTTGCCTGAAGGTGATGAACTAATGTTACCTTACGTACCAACCCGCATCTTCCTGCAATGTATAAGGCTGCTCGAGTGTTGTGACTTGTTTTTTTTTTCGAAGGGTTGTACAAAGCTGTGGTTTACTGCCAACCATATCATAAAATTGCTGAATGTAGTGTGGTTTTAAAGAGAATGACGCGTTGATTTCTGCGCATTGTCAATCCAATGTTTGTTGCAGCTCTGAATAAATGCTTGGTAACTGACCACATGGGAGTTTTTTTTCAACATGGCTCGTTATAAAAATCTGGGCAGTTAGGTATTATGCTAAGATTAATCTCATTACAGGCAAACATCTTTTGGTCAAACTTCAAGGGACAAGCAAATAAGTTTGAGCTAGGGAAAGAAACATTTTTTGGGAAAAGAAATAAGAGTAACAGGAAATTGCAACTGGCATTATTCTGGACTTTTAATTGCTCTTTAATGAGTTGATGTGATGCTGAACTTGGAGGGAAGGATTTGTTTACCCAATTAGTCTTTCACTTCCTTCCAAAACGCATGCCATTAGATATTTCTTGATTTCCTCTTTCCTGTGTCAATGAAATAATAGCCAAAAGTCTCCAGAACATTGAAATTATAGGGATCCAAGAAGTAAATCCTTCAAGTTAGGGAGGTTTTTAATGCATTGATTATACAGGTGAACCTCAATAACTCAAACCTCCCAAAGTTGAATACCCCCTCAAGTCAAATTTTTTCAGATCCTGTTAGAAACAATACATAGAAAACCTCCCTAAGTCAAAGGCTTTTCCCCTCAAACCTCTTTAAGTCAAATTTTCTGTGGCCTGTTGGCTATGATTTTACACAAGAAATAAAAAAGCAATAAAATTAAAAATTGATGTGTCTGAAAAGCAAGTGAAAAACTTAATTGGGCAAATGAACCCCTGCCTACAAGTTCAGCATCCTTTCAAATCAGCCAAGAAGCAATTTAAGCCCCAGAATTCTATTTACAATTTTGGGCAATTTTTCTATGTTTCCCAGAACAGAAGAGCTACAGTATGTGTTGTAGCTCAAACATCTATAATTCCAAAGCTCCCTAAGCCAAATTTTTTTGCTGGTCCTTTGAAATTCGACTGAGAGAGGTTCAACTGCACAAGTATAAGGGAATTTGTAGCACATAAAATTCTGGGCTTCTACATACAATTCCTGAAAATAAAAAACACAGAAGTACTATACAGCAATAGTTACTCTTGTCTAAGTAGTCACAAATTGCTATTTGCCACCTAGTGCAAATCTTGGGTCTCCCTTTTCAGAAAATGTACAAACAATTATGCATTCTGGACAATTTTCCGAGCCAAAGTACTTAAGGTGTGCATGTAACGTAAACCATCGCGTTTAGAACAAAAAACCCCGGTTCAGTGAATTTTTCGCACAGTAAAAACACAAATTTCTTTGAATTTATTTCGTAGCATTCATCAATGCGAAAAAAAAAGAGAGACTTTCATTGCACCACGGGGAATGAGAAAAAATCGTTCCTACTACAGTTCATAATCAAGATCAACATTTTACAAAACGTTTTCGTGTCAAGCACCGGGTAGTTTTGAAAAGCACCTCTATATATAAACTGAAACCCGCGTCTTATTTTATAAACAAGACAAACAAAAGAGGTCTCCAAAATTACGTCACCGCCATTGTCGATATTGCAACAGTGTCCGCTGAACATTCGATGAAAAGATTATACCCCATGAATGGCCACCGGTCAGATCAGTTCCCAGCACAGAGAGAAAGAGGAAAAAAAAGACTTTTCACTTTTTCGACAGCAGAGCTCGATGACGGAAGGCAGTTTCCTGGATCTCGTTGTAAGATGCGATCAGCAACAACTATACACAAAAACAAATTTAGCATGAAATTCACTGCATGTACTCAGATTAATTTGAATTCATGAGAAAATAAGAACCACTTACAAATCCAACAGTTGAAACTAAGATAGTTCCACCATACAATAACCACGGCCTGAAGATAAGAGCTGCTCCAAGAGTGGGACCAATCAGAAGCCCAATCAATGAGAAACATCTTCTGATGCCCATTGCCATACCTGCACAAAACCCGTTTATAATTGATACCAGAACAAAAATATCTAAATATTTCCTCCCAAGTACTGGAATTCAAAATATGAATCAAGATGAAAGTAGACGTCGTTCTTCTCCAAATACATGCACAAGACTAAAAAAAATTTAACGCACACAGAGAAATGGATTACGCAAAACATTGAAAGCAGTCCTGCCATAACTTCTTAACAATAAAAATGCCTCTCTCCACAGAAAATTTTACTAAAGAGAAAGTGAAATTTCCACAGGTGGACTCTTGCTACAATTACCTTGTCTATACAAGAATTCTCTCTGCAAAAAAATAATTTTTTTGGTCTCAAATATAGGGTTATTCCGCCCTGTTTTAGGGTTCTCCACAACGAAATTGTATCTGCAAAGATTTTTCCTGGCCCCTTTAATTTCATTGTAGAGAGAGTCCACCTGCATACTCATGGTAAAGAGCATACATGTATACAGTGCAGTATATCTGTTGTTTTAATTTAGTAAAAAAGAATGGGATCAAGTGGGAAACTCAAGAGCGCTCAGCACAGAAGCGATCGCATTTAGTTTCACTTCACAGTACAGTGAGACCCCCACATGCGGACGACTCGACCTGCGGACGATTAGACCTAGGACACTTATTTTACCATTAAAAAATCACAAAAAGTCCCAACATGACGACATTGACTCGACATAGGGACATTTTGAAATAAAATTGCAAATAAATTTCAGGCAAAGTTACAAGAAACAGATATTTCCAACCTTGAAATTGATGTAAGAAAAGTTCTTGGGCATTTCTCTCATCAATTTACCATCCATTTAGCTAATGGAAAAATTAATTCCAGCATAGAGGGAGTCCCTTCTCTCTTCTTCACTTGAATGTTATTTTTACAGAAAATGCCAACATTTCTATGTACTGTACAGAGATATCAGTATTCAATTCTCCAAATGTACATTTTGCGTTGAAATATATTGATTGAATCAGTTTAAATTGGGAGAAAATTTTTATTTTCATGGAATTAGGGTGAGTATGTTGTACAAGAAACATCAATTAAAAATTATATAATGTAAGTCTAAGGGAAAACGAGACTTGACTTTGGGACACTCTTGATGCACCAATTACGTCCACATCTCGGGGTCTCACTGTATTAATCTTTATTAATTTTTCATTCGAACAAAACAATCACAGGGATTAATGAGTATCATGAAAAGTTCAGAGGACATATAATGGTTGAAAGACGGTTTTGACGCGTTACATATCCAGTATTTCTCATAACTAAAACACGCCAATCAGGTGAAATTTTCAGTCTAATTTTATAAGAATGTTTCAGTTACTCAAAGTCATTCAATGAAAATCGCGAAATTAACTTTAACATCAAGACAAAATGCGCTGAATACAAAATGACACGCAGTTTTCAGTCGTTTACCGTGTTTCTACGAACATACTTTGGCAGATCATCAGATATATACGGTCTCTCGAATTATTAACCTGAAAGAATCGAAATTATCTTAACTCAACTACAGCACCAAAGAAAACAGGGCTTGATTCAGACAACTTCTTCTTGCATGAAAACACAAGAAAGATTCCAGTGATGTTAGGTATTGAACTGGAATAAATGTCATACATCTTTTACGTTATGGAGTTACAGTATTTATTTGTGGGTTTTGAAAAATTTTAAATTGACGTTCTCATGTCCGGAAACGGTTACCTTGAACATCTTCCTCCACTATCAAGGAAATCAAAGTCGTCACGGAACACACAGACGCAGGATCAGCAACCAGCATAATCCCAGACACGCCGATGAAGGCCCAGAAGTAATCGTAGTTTCCTGCAAGAAAGAAAAATCCAAAAAAATGTAAAAGAAAAATCGTGCAAGCATGATTTTTTTTTTTTCAAAGGAACACCTGATAATTCTATCAGATAAAACAGTCAATCATTCCGTGAGCAAAACGCAATTCGATCAGCATATATAAGGTGATAAGTTCAAAAATACCCGCTTTTGGGGCTAATCATAATGCAGTACTTATTTTTCACTTACCATTTTTTCCCTGAAATCATATTCACTGCTCGTGACTGATTCCAATGAAAATCGCAGGGAACTTTCAGTTTTCTACCGCCCAAAAAAAAAAATGCAGAAAATATCCAAGTGGATCACGTTATTATTTCAAGAAAAAAAGAAAATTTCAGTTAAACGCATGCGAAAATAATAATGAGGAACAGATTTCCGCAGGCAGTTGAAAATAGCTTCAATTCTTCAGGAATATGAATTGAATGACTCGCACATCATTAAAAAAATTATCTAAAAATTTGCCCGTAATGTTTGAACACGTTTAAAAAAATGTTTCCACCCCGCAAAAATTTGTGAGAAAAAAATGCGAATAATTTCGAAAACGACTTCGAGCCAACTTCCGGTCTGTCTTACCGTATTCCACATAAACTCCGACAAAAAGATAGCCGATGAATGCGATGATGGTGGATAGAACACCAAAGAGCAGGATGTTGAGTTCAGGCGCATTATGATAACCTTCATCCTGTTTCTTCTTGTAGAAATCGACCACGAAGAAGAAGGAGATGAACGCCATCAGCATGCCGATGCCGAAGCCCATGAAGATCCAGCTGATTTCTGCTGGCCATATTTTCATGGAATTAGGGTGAGTATTTTGTACATGAAACACCAATTAAAAATTATATAATGTAAGTCTAAGGGAAAACGAGACTTGACTTTGGGACACTCTTGATGCACCAATTACGTCCACATCTCGGGGTCTCACTGTATTAATCTTCATTAATTTTTCATTCGAACAAAACAATCACAGGGATTCATAAGTATCATGACAAGTTAGAGGACATATAATGGTCGAATGACGGTTTTGATGCGTAACATAAATTTCTCATAAATAAAACACGCCGATCAGGTGAAATTTTCAGTCTAATTTTATGAGAATGTTTCAGTCACTCAAAGTCATTTAATAAAAATCGCGAAATTAACTTTAACATCGAGACAAAAAGCGCTGAATACAAAATGACACGCAGTTTTCAGTCGTTCACCGTGTTTCTACGAACATACTTTGGCAGATCATTCTCTCGAATTATTAACCTGAAAGAATCTAATTTATCTTAACTCAACTATAGCACCAAAGCAAACACGGCTTGATTCAGACAACTTCTTCTTGCATGAAAACACAAGAAAGATTCCAGTAAGGTTAGGTATTGAACTGAAATAAATGTCATGCATCTTTTACGTTATGGAGTTATTTACTTATGGGATTTGCAAAATTTAAAATTGACGTTTTCATGTCCGGAAACGGTTACCTTGAACATCTTCCTCCACTATCAAGGAAATCAAGGTCGTCACGGAACACACAGACGCAGGATCGGCAACCAGCATAATCCCAGACACGCCGATGAAGGCCCAGAAGTAATCGTAGTTTCCTGCAAGAAAGAAAAATCCAACAAAATGTAAAAGAAAAATCGTGCAAGCATGTTTTTTTTTTAAAGGAACACCGGATAATTCTAGCAAATAAAACAGTCAATCATTCCGTGATCAAAACGCAATTGGATCAGCATATGATGAGGTGATAAATTCAAAAATGCTCGCTTTTGGGGCTATTCATAATGCAGTGCTTATTTTTCACTTACCGTTTTTTCCCTGAAATCATATTCACTGCTCGTGACTGATTCCAATGAAAATCGCAGGGAACTTTCAGTTTTCTACCGCCCAAAAAAAAAAAACGCAGAAAATGTCCAAGCGGATCACGTTATTATTTCAAGAAAAAAAGAAAATTTCAGTTAAACGCATGCGAAAATAATAATGAGGAACAGATTTCCGCAGGCATTTGAAAATAGCTTCAATTCTTCAGGAATATGAATTGAATGACTCGCACATCATTAAAAAAATTATCTAAAAATTTGCCCGTAATGATTCACACGTTTAAAAAAATGTTTCCACCCACAACATTTTGAGAAAAAAAAAAGATTCGAATAATTTCGAAAACGCTTTCGATCCAGCTTCCGGTCCGTCTTACCGTATTCCACATAAACTCCGACAAAAAGATAGCCGATGAATGCGATGATGGTGGATAGAACACCAAAGAGCAGGATGTTGAGCTCAGGCGCATTATGATAACCTTCATCCTGTTTCTTCTTGTAGAAATCGACCACGAAGAAGAAGGAGATGAACGCCATCAGCATGCCGATGCCGAAGCCCATGAAGATCCAGCTGATTTCTGCTGGCCCGAGGTCGAAATACTCTTGCATGAAAGGCGGAACCACAGCCTGAAGCAACAATTGAAATAATTTTTTAAAACAAATTCAGCAGCATCTTGGTAAGACGAAGTCATTGGGACCATCAGGAAATGCCCTTCGTTACAAAAAAAAATATTCGTCGTATCCGAACTCAAATTAAATCTTGGATAAACTGCAGCAGGAACCTTGAAAAATAATCCACGAATTCCTGGTGAAGAGATTTTACTGTTTGTCACAAGCGTTTGGAAGCAAAGGAATTTTTTCTATTCCACAGGAATGCACTTATTTTCTGACCAGCGTAAAGATGCACTGATTCACAACAAACTTTTGCATTCCATCCAACTTTCGCTGGAATGAAAGAATTATCGCGTATATACGGTAATTAATTTCCAACACAGTGCATACAATGAAAATAAACTCATCATCACCTCAATCAGAGCTTGACACATGATGCAAATCATTTGCACCAAGAACAACGGCAACAATTTCGTATTCAGCAGAAATTCTGGAACAAAAGGACGAGCATCAGTATATATGACTGCAACACAAATATAAATTCAAATTTACTTGATTGAAAAATAGAATGACCTTCAACAGCTGATTCGCTTAAATTTACAGTAAGATTCAATACAAAAAAATAAAGGTGAGCAACAGTTTAAGAAGGAGTCAATTTTAGCTACGTAAATATTGAATTCGAACTTATCAACAGTGATTTTCCAGAAATTTCAAACATTCTACCACAGATTATACTGTATTTTGAATTTTCGCCCAGGTTAATGAATGCTGCATCTGCGCACAGCATTCCGACTTATTCCAAGAGTGACATCTATTCAAAAAAATTCCATTCCCTGTGACACCTGGAAATAAATTAACGATCTCATGCATAACAGTTCCACTAGATGTCATGCGTTAAATCTTATACTGTAAACGTGTCGACGCATGATGACTGGACAAAAATTGTTGCTTAAAAAAACGGCAGCCAAGTAAAAGCGTTTAGAAAGTAACTAAATAACTAGGCTTTCTTCTGCTCCGCACGCGTCGGCGTACACAAATTTGAAATTTCAGCTCCATTTCAAAAGCATGATCAACTCGTATTTTCTTGTTTCCATCTGGCATGAAGCGTCTAAAATTTATAGTAAAAAAAAAGCCGAAAAAGTAGATTATGGAAACCACGGTGAATCCGCATTACGCTGAATTAGAATGTCAAATCCCCATTCCCACCTTTCACAAAGGAAATCTTTCTGGGCTTTCCGTCTGTCGAGGAGCCAGTTGAATCATTCACAGCGTCCTTGGCTGTGGGATCCATCAAAGGCTTTTTCTCAGGATCAATGTCACCGAACTTTTGCCTGAAATTCACACAGTATTAATAAAATACCCCGGAAATGAAATACAAACAGAAACTTGCACCATGTCAAAATTAACATACTTTTTTGCATCAAGAGAAGCAAGATCCGGTTGCGATGTTCCATAAATTTCTCGCATCAACGGCCGCATGTTGAAGAAGAAAAAGTACACGAATATCTCGAACAGGAAGAAGCACACGAACAGGATCAGGCCCGGCGCTGATTCTTCATTGAACTAGAAGCAATACAAATGAAATCCACGTTTAAAGACGAGTAGATTTTAATTTAGCATTCCAAAAAGAGAAAACAAGAATCCAACATAAATACTGTACAGTACAATACAGTACTTCCATTTGGAAAATACGGAAAACATCCGAAAGAGCAAGAAGAGGAGAAATTTTTCAACAAAAAAGGAATGCAAGTATGTACTGTATTTAGGTAGACCCTTTTTATTCTACAACAATTTTCTCTGTATATGAAGAATTCGTCTTTTATCCCGTACGTAAGGTTCTCTGCCAATCTTGTACGGGTTTTCTACGACAAAATTCTCTCCAGCACAGTCAATTTTTTCTGCTTCCCTGAATTTTGTTTCAGAAAGATTCAACCTGTATTAGAGCAAACCATAATGTTAAAAACTTCAAGATTATAGATTATTCATTTAGTTTTGCATAGATCATGAGCCATGTTCCTTTTTGGTACTCCTTTTTTGCTGGCTCTTCTGATGCTTCTTATGATTGTTGGCTCGGTCATCAGCTAGATCACAAGAACTTGTCTGTTTATTCACATGCACTGTATTTACAGGAGAACCACACTAATGAGGCATAAGTCATATTTTGGAGACAAAAGTTGTTCTTTAAAGCGGTGGAACTTGCTCTTCCAAAAAAACTTGTTATTTTGAAGCTGACCTTATTCTTTTGCTATTTTGATGAACATCTCATTGCTATATTGAGGATTTAGGACAATTAAAGACAGGGTCAATTTGAAACAGGGTCAAATTGAGACAGATACTTTTTGAGACACAGACAAATTGAGACATATACATTTTGAGACAAAATGACTTGACTGTGTTTCTCCCTATTAATTATTTTATGTTTAAGGTGTGAAAATGAACAAAAATTGCACTGCTTGGTGAAAAGTCCATGATCCCAGGGTGTTTCTCCTTTTTGTCCAGCTTAACGGTCAAGTGAGTTTTCCTCATCAAGTAAAACTCAAAACTTTGAACCAACCTAAGCAGATTCCTCTCCTCATTAAGATAGTTTTTGTCTCAATTTGTCCCTGTCTCAAACTGCCTCTGCCTCAAATTGTCCCCTCATCAAATTGTCCCTGTCTCAAATTGTCCCTGTCTCAAATTGTCCTGGTCTTGAATTCCCCTTGTCTTGAATTCCCCTTGTCTTGAATTGGTCCTGTCTCATATTTTCTGTCTCGATTTGTCCAGTCTTGAATTGTGTGTCTCAATTTGTCCGTATCCCCTCTTTTCAGATGAATCTCGCTCTTTTGATAAAAACTGTTAATTTTTAGACAGAAACCTACCTCTTTCAACACGAATATCGCTCTTTTGACACAATTCTTAATCTTTCTAAGACAGAAGTTTTTTTTTTTTTACATATAAAACTTACTCTTATCATAAAACCTTGCTCTTTGGGTGGTAAATCAAGTTAATGGAGAAATTTCAAGAGATATTCTTACTTGAAACAGATGGCCGAATAAAGAGAACTGAAACTCAGGGATTCTCCGAATGAAGATGTTGAAGCCCGGTGACATCATGATCCCTACTTGACGCAATAGAAACGCACTCGAAAGCACCTTCATCCTCTCTTCTCGGGTCGTTCCTCGAATGATTTCCGAATAAATTGCACTGTTCATCCCGAGTCCGAACCCTGATTCAAAAAATAATGCGTCAGGATTAAAAATCAGAAAACATTCTTCGCTTCGAGAAACCCGAGAAGTCAAAGAAAAAAAACAATAAAAAGCCCCTGTCGACTTACCGTATGTCACTTGCGACTGGATCGGCATAAATTACACGATGTTTTCGGAATGCCCGGAAAGAAATAAATTTTAGAAAATTGGAAGGTTTCTTGAGATGCGAATAATACAGGTCAAACATAAAATATTGCGATCGAGAAATGGACGCCGATTTTCATGTCTCCAAAAGATACGACCCACAGCAATCAGCACCAGTAATTTTTCTCGATATAAGCCTAATCCCAAATTTCCCTTTGTACCTTTTCCAAGGTCTCTTATTTCTTCCAACTGTACATTCTTCTCATTATTTTTCTACCAATCTTTTCAATAAGTCACCTCAGCCTTTCCTATACCGTACAACTATACGTGGCTCGTTGTCATCTCCAAAACTGCCGACACAAAACTGTGATTTGTTCTTAGGGAATTAATTTTCATTTTCTTCCGATCTCGAAGTTAGAATACTATAACCTCAATAAAGAGCCTCAGTTGAATCGTACGTATACAAATGAAAAAGGTAACACTGCTGTATCGCCCAAATGGCTCACATTTGAGGATTTGTTCATAAAATTAGATGATCACTTGCCGTCATTGGAGGCGGACGCAAACTTCTTCCTTTGCTTTTCAATCCTTTATCATAGTGTCCAATACATTTTTTGATCCACTAATACCCAGCTACGGATGGAAACAAGAAAAAGACCTTGATAATGCTGAATGTCCTCTATTGCAGTGAAGTTTAATTGATCAAGAGCAGCTGCACTCTTGCATGCTCTGCAACTTTGGGGGTTATGTGGTCTGAGTGCAATTGAGTGTTTCTCCAGATTGAGAAAGCATGTTGGTGATGAAGCTCCAGCTAAGCCATGCATCTTTTTACAGATGAAAAATAAAACCAATTCAAAAAGAGCAATTTCCACATGAGCAATGCCCTGGGCAAGATATTGCCCATGTGTGGGGGCCCTAAAAAGTGTTTCGGGATCCACCAAGCAAATTTTTGGTGTAGCCAAGATTTTAGTACAGCCATGGGATCCATCTTAAATAGAATCTTTTTTTGTTTGGCAAGAATCCTCTTTCATTAGACCCACCACACATGAGCAACATCTTGCCCAGTGGATGGTAGGAAATCTTGGACATCCTTCAGATTGGGCATTGCTCGTTTTGAATTTGTTTTTTGTTTCATCTGCAAAAAGTTGCATGACCTAGCTGGAGGTTCCTCACCAAGAATCCAAGATGCTTTCTCAATCTGGAGAAACACTCAATTGCATTCAGACCACATAACACCCAAAGTTGAAGAGCATGCAATATTGCAGCAGCTCTAGATCAATTAAACTTCACTTCAATGGAGGACATTCAGCATTATCAAGGTCTTTTTCTTGTTTCCATCTGGGCATTAGTTGTGTATTAGTGGGTCAAAAATGTATTGGACACTTATAAAGGATTGAAGAGCAAAGGGACAAATTTTTGTTGTCCACCTCCAATGATGGCAAGTGATCATCAACTTTTATGAACAAACCTTCGTATTATGCAAATATGTAACTCAAGGTTCTAACGTATTGGCATTTTAGAGTATACAGTGAAACACCCAGATGAGGACATAATTGGTGCATCAAGAGTGTCCCTAAGTTGAATCTTGTTTTCCCATAGACTTACATTATATAATTTTGAATTGGTATTTTATAGAAAAAATATTCTTCAGAATTCCATGAAAAAAATGGTTTGCCACTTGAATTTGATTCAGTGAATATCTTTTCAACCCAACAAGAACATTTGGAGCATTGAATAGTACGCGCAGTTCATTGAAATATGGGCATCTGTAAAAATGACATCCAAGTCACAAAGAGAGAAGGAAGTCCCTCTGTGCTATAGGTAATTTTTTCAATTCACTGAATAGATGGGAAAGTGATGAGAAAAGTACCAAAATAATTTTTCTTGCATAGATCTTAGGGTTGGAAATATCTGTTTCTGGCAATTAAGCCTAATAAAAGTCAATTTTCCTCAAATTTATTGGCAATTTTATCATGCAATGTCCTCATGTTGAGTCAGTATCTGTATGTTGGGCCTTTTTTGTGATTTTTTTTATTGAAAAATAAATGTTCCCATGTCAAATTGTCCCAATGTTGAGGTGTCCACATGTGGGGGTCTCACTGTATAAAGAACATCACTCATATCAGTCACAGTCTGGATGAGGTCTAAACTTCAATTTTTTAAACGTTTAAAAACGCTGAAATGTGCAGTATATCCGATGAGTCAACAGATAGGAACATTCAGAACACCGCTCGCGGTTATGTAACGTCGATTATATAACCACAAATTCGCCACCGCATATAGACGCAATCTCGTTACACTTTTTCTTCTTCCACAGAAATTGAATCTACCGTACCTGCTATAAATCGGGCCACGATCAGCATTTCGGCATTGATTCCGGCAAAATACAGAGCTTGGCCAACCAATTGCGGCAAATTAACGAGAAGCAGGATTTTCCGCACGTCTTCAGAGCGATCACACCAATAGCCCACGGACAAAGCAGCGATCATCCCCGAGATGTTGAACACTGTCATCACGGAGAAAACAATCAGTCAATAATTGTGATTCATCGATCACTCAATCGAACACAAATATACCGCAAGAACGCGGATAAAAAAAGAAGTAATTGATTCCGAGACCAACTTTTACACACATAATAGCCGCTCGAAAGAAAATAGGTTGCTGTAACAAGGGATTAAACGACTCACTTTTCCTCGCCTTAAATTTTGCCAGCAACTTCAATGAACGCTAGAAAAATGTGAATTTTTTCTTTCAAATTACTATAAGTCACTTCTTCAAAAGCGTTGATGATTTCGCGGCACACCATTTTGTAAAAGCACTCGAATCCAAGATAATGTTCAGTTGTACACCATCAATGTCAAAACGCGCCGCTTCTTCAGAGTAAGAAATAGGCATTGTTGGAAAAGTTTAAAAAAAAAGTCCCTGAGCTCACCGGATATAGTGATTCCGAGGTACGTCTCATCATATACACCCAGTGACTGAATGTACTTCCAAACCGTTGGGAAGATCACACCTATGAAGAATAAAATAACACGAACATGAACTCTTCCTTCTGAAGAACACTTCAGTCATCTGGAAAACATAATTTCTCTAGTCTATAGTACAATATTACCGATCGAAATCGAGATCATCATATACGTACTGCACAGCCTTCCTGTGCATGAGTAGTGGCTACATCAAGAACATTATTATAGGTTCTCGGCGAGAAATGCGCATATTTATCGCAAAAAAACCAATAAATGTTGTTTCTTTAAAACAAAATAAATGAGAGAAAAGTAGGGCGTCACGCAAAAAGAAACTTCGGGCCCCTATTACAATCGCTTCGCTTACGTCATTTTACAAGACGCGTTTTCACTTCATGAGTCCTGAAAGTACCATGTATCCGAACATTTTTGTATTGAACTCTCTTGTATAGAACTTTCGAAAATGATCCACAATACAGACGGAAATACTGTATATTTTAACGCAGATTTGATCAAGTTTATTCAATTCACAGTGCTTTTTGCCATGGTGACACTAGATTGATGTGAAAGGCATACTGTATTTGCTGGACGAACCAGGATCCAGGATGTACTACATATACCGTAAAAAGATTTTGACAATAACCGAAGAGCACCTATACAGACTTAAGCCAGCACAACCAATAAGCTGGGCAGATGGAGATGCTTTTCTTAGTACAAGGAAAGCATCAAATGACTCCTCCAGAAAAAGTCAAACTTAAATTACATGTGAAGCACAGCGCAATCTTGCTACAAAAAGGCAATAGGGACCAGGAATAAGAAGCTTTGTTAACATGATAATTCATTTTTAATTAGTTGAAATAACATAATATTGCAGCAAGGCAGGGCTCATATTTTGTTTCCATTTTGATACTTTCTATATCTTCCTGATGGTGCAGCCATGCTGGACCCTGAGAAGAATTATGCAACATTTTCTCTGCAGTGGACCACAGAATCCATCAAAATGGGTAATAAAAGCACTGTGTTGACAAACCTGCAGTTAATAAACTGGCTCCATACATCCGGCAGTTAAAACGTATTCAATTTAAGAAGCTCGTCGCATCAAGCGATTAGCTGTACATATATATGGTGCTACGGTATCCAAACCACTGCAAACCCGAAACTTTTTTTTTTATTTTACACAGTATTTTAACTTTTAACCCTTCACATCAAAAACTGACGAAACTTGCAAAGATCAAGACAGTTTCAAAGCATTATGTGAAATTTGGAAAAATCCTGAACGAAGATGTTGAAGCATTCCGACAATGATGAGAACCCACCAATAATACAATAACGTTGATTTCCTCTATGGCATGCACAGTGTTATTTTTTCAAAGATTATAAGAACATTATTTCATAGCTTTCGGAAGTGAAGGGACAACATTCAAATTTCAAGGACTTGGATGTTTTTTTGTCAAACATCCTATCGAATATAGATGTGCGGGTATGAAAGAAGAAAACTAGAGAAATACTGTATATCAAGAATATTTATGAGCAATTACGATATCGTGCTGCACTTTCTTCTGAGTTCAAACCTGTTTCGATTCGAACTTCAAAGGTTCGTCTACCTCTTGATACTTGGGCAGTTTTCTATCGTTCAACGACAGGATAATTGAAGTTACTCCTTGTGGAACGAATACGAGTAATCCCGACAAAAGCAGGTTCTTTATGAAAAACCGACTTTATTGTCTGTCGGCATTCAGAATAATTTACGTTAACTCGTTCCTTCCTGAAACAATAAAGGCGATCTATATATACAGGCTTCACATACGAGAGTAGCCAGCACAATTCTTGATGTGCATCGTTTAGCAAGTCTTTGCTCAAGTGAGGAAATCCAGAACTATAAAAGTGGACCACAGACGAAGAGGAATACATTATCGGATACACTGTACTTACCATATTCCACGCCCATGAGAATGTTCGTGCAATGCGCCATGGAAAACGTAAAAATTCGGCGGGTGCGAGCACTGAGCCGCGTCTCCAACATCCGCCTCAACGATGGAAACACCATCCTGGCGACTCAAATCTGAACACTCTCTGCTGAACCGTTAAAAAATTTCAACTATATTCACGTCCCACCCGCGCGCATGGCAACGACATCCGCGACTGCCCAAGATACACGCAAGAGCCGGCGAAAGGTGCAGGGGAAGAACCCGCCGAGACATAGCAGCTTCCCAATGTCGTCCGATGTACCTTTTTCCATGCCTCCCGCATTAGACTATGTGGCAAATGGAGAAAAGAGAGAGAGAGATGGAATTTCTGTCCAGGTTAGTGTAGGACAGGTATGAAGGTTCAACACAGGCGCGCGCGGGCATAGCTAGCCAACCGGACTGAGTTGGGAATGGTCTTCTGCACAGCCACGAGTTCTCGGTTAGGACCGATCGCTCCGTCTTGTGAGTTGAACGCATGTTACAGAAAATCACACGATGTACCGTACACTGTGTCATCCGTCAGTCATTACGATGGCCAAGAACTAGTACCCTTAGCAAACGAAAACGTTCTCCACGAATGAAAGACAAGTTGCTTCAAAAATGCTCCGAGAGATCTATCCTAAGGTAGGACATAGATTGATACGTGGGTTTCATGAAATGGTTCCCCCCTACCCAGAAGGAAGGAGCTGATGAGGTCATTGGGTACGAAAGTGGGTAACCATATGGACGCTCGTTGGTGCAGCTCGCGAGCGCCATTAATGTATACTGAATATTGTATTCTGGATTTTGACAAGTTTTATTGAAAAATTCGTGTGAAAATCACGATTAATATGAATGATGTACTCCGAATGAAATGCGTTCTCCGGCTTCTAATTCAGCGTGATCGATTTGTTTAGTGAATGCCTGATCGCCTGATGGTGTGTAATGCGTCTGTTACGAAGGTTAACGGAGGAGAAAACTGTGTTGTGTGTCATTATATTGGATATGAGATGTATTTTGTACAGGAGGCTATATGCAGTTGAAATTCGATTACCCGAGTCTGAATTTTGAATCAATGACTTGATACTGTGCTGCGGGTTGCAGTTATGAATGGTAACACAGTACATCAGTTCATTTCGGAATTTTTAGAACGTGATGAATACGTATTTTCAATTTTGTATTCTTTCTAAGCGGAAATATAATTGGCTAACGAAAGCCGGGTTTATCCTCCGGCTCTTACGCGCCGTTGTTGAATCGCGGCTGACGCCGTACCATTCACGTAACCCAGAAAAGGAAAGGCATGGAGACATTTCGTCGGTCAAACGCATCTCCCTCCCGCTTCCTTCTCTTTCTGGAATCAAGGCTGAAGACCTGAAGGAGGCATAGTTCCTGATTATCCTCGCAACTGCGCGGCGAGCCGTCAATGTAAATGAACGAGAACCGACGGAGTGGATCTCATGACCTCTTGCGAGACCTTCAGCAGCTGTACAGTATAGTTCTTAATTGCGCTGATCTCCGAGAGTATGACTCAATCTCCGGGTTATGAGTTGAAGCCAATCTTTCTTAAAATCTTCGAGCGGGGAATACTTGAAATATCTTGAAAAAAAAGTCAGCATCAACGCTCCAACCAACAAATCAGCTCATTACTACATCGTGGTGACGATCAAACTTCGGGTTCACGAGTTTTAAAACTTTCACAGAATTCGTCCAAGAAAGAAGATAAACAAGCGAATGGACGTGGAAACCATTTCAATGAAATGCCACATCGCCAAGTAAAAATTCAGCTCAATACTTGAAGCTTATCTTTCATATTGAAGATCGTATAATTGAGGATTTCTTCACAGTCTCACAAAATGCTCTTGTAAGCATGATCTCGGCGCATTTGCATGGTGTTTTTGTTTTATGTCCCCGTCAGTTTGACATTTCTTGTACCTTCGAAGGACGATGATCAAGGTTTCGAATCAAGCGACTGTCGCAGCGTTTAGTACAAGAATATCGTTAGCAACATGCATCTCACTGACCACATTCCCATGCCTCGTTGACCGGTTCGTATCAATTAAGTTGATCTAGAAGTGGTATCCTTCGTTATCGTATCAAGCACTGGTATAGGTACAGTACATTACATCATGCAGTTGAACAGTTTAGAGTGCAAACAACTCGTTAATTTCTTGCACCATCTGAAAAGATATTTCACCGAATGAAGAGTGGTACAGCATGCAGCCACGAACTAGAGAGAACTTTTCTGGGATGATACGTTTAGTAAATAGAAGTGTATCCCGTACATATTATAGGTTATTTTGGTCGTTCGGATAGCGTATGCTGCAAGTTCCAGACAGGAATGAAGATTTATCCATACAACACGCATACGCAAGGATCCCGCTTTGCATGTGTCATGCTGCTTTCACATGTCGTAAACTATATGGTGCAGAAGCTAGGCAGGTACTTCCTCGGTGAAGTACAGTAGTTTATCATTTCCATGAACGACATCTAATGAATTCAATTCCATTTACGTCACCATCAGGGCGACATCTATTTGCAAAAGCATAATTCTGGAAGCTACGGATAATAAGCAACTCTCAAAATAAAAATAATCTATGCGAAAATCAGTAGTAAAGCACTTCATTTCGTAAAGACCACATATCAGTGAACTGACATCGAAATCAAAATATACGGCACACCTAACTTAATTCAAGTACATGTGCTCATCACAACACGATTACATTTGAGTAACTGTTTTTGCACCGTTGACCTTACCTTACACGATTATGAAGGCACAACAACTGTAATAATTATTCCGACGAAAAAGCTGCGAGCATTTGCAACATTAAAAATGTCACTCCATAATTAGCACAGGTGCAATCACTTCTTGGCAAGAAGGGTTAAATGCGATTTATTCCAACAATGAAGCCAGACAAATATCAACTTCTTCCGGCTCATCAACTGTAGCACAAACCTCCATTTCTTCGGATTCCTCCTGTTCGCTCGTTTCTATTTCGAGCGTCTCCTCAATTTCAATTTCTTCCCCGCCTGCGTCCTCAAAATCATCTCCACGTCGATCGAAGGGTGTAACCACGTTGCTTACCGCGACACCAAGTACACAGCGTGGAAACCTTACGGAGAAACGATGCAACTCGCCACAGGTGTCGCCCGCTATGATATTCGCCATTCGCCCATTCTGTCGTAGGATTTTTGCGGATGACAAATTGAAGGCGCATTCGAATTTTCCAACCTGCAAAACGTGACGAATTTCGTAGCACCCAACCTCATGTAGTATGAGTCAACTTTGATTTTTAGTTTCCCTTTTAACTTCTTTTTTTAATGTACTGCTGTATATATTTGCGTGTATTTCCGAAACTTCAACATTGGTACAGTACTGTATATCTGCGGAGTCACAAGATACAGTAGATTATATTGAGCCCCGTAAAGGACTGGGATTAAATGAAGAATTTCGAAAATTTGCGTACTCATAATCTTACGTAAAATTAGTCGAGAAGTCCACAAAATAGGCACCCAACGTCGTCTCGGAAATCAGAAGAAAACGAAGCAGGATAAATCGAAAAGACGATTAAAATTATTTTTAAAAGTTTTCTCCATGCACTTCAAAACTTTGGAAATGCTCAAGTGCATACAGGAAATCCGAGAAAAATAAACATTTTGATGGTGAAGCTTTGGAATTGAAGATTAAAAAGGCGATTGTGAATTTTCATTTCTTTACAGTGACATCTACCAACGTTAGAGCAATTGCTCATCGCGACGAACTACCTATGAAGATCAGATCGAGTAATGGAGTACAGTGCAGACATTTATTTCAATTGCTGCATATACGGTAAGATTATGGTCAACCCGTAGAGAAATAAGGGCGAATGGATCCTCTTTTTGCAGAAATGTATCGAAACTTGACTCTACAGCACCATTATGCCAGTAGCTTACGAATCTGTATCACAATATCACCACACAACAATGAAGCTTCGAGAGAACTTTCGGCTTTATACAGTAGTTCTTTCCCTTTTGTCAGTTTGTTCATGTATTTTTTGAGAGTTTTTCTTCAAGTTTATCATTCATTCAAAATATTATAGACGATTCCTCCACTAATTACTCACTTGCTGCATGTCACGGACGTTCCAGCCCTTCCAAATTTTAATGCACTGCTCATTCGCTGTCGTAATCAAGAAACAGTCATTTGGATCGCTGAGTTTCACTGGCAGCATCGCATTGATCGGTGACGAATGCAACTGCGAAGGAAATGAAAACGTCACTTAAAGCAGTGATGCCCAACGTTTTTGGCCCGCGGACCGGCCATTTCCAAAATATTTTCCGCGGACTGGCCAAGTTTCACAAAATTTTTCGAGACTCAGAAAAGTTCCGTTCGAAAGACTTTATGGCAGGCATTTGAGAATTTTCTGTTTTTATTCTTTGCTGCAAAAAGGAAGTCAAGAACCAATGCAGCAGTTTTAGTGGAATGTCTTTTAAAAATGCCTTCAAGACTTCGTACTACAGTACTTTTGAAAAATTTCTTATGCTGGAGAAAAATTCCTGCGGACCAGCAAACGGACCACGGGTTGGAAAACACTGGCTTAGAAAATACAGTACAGTACATTCGAGGCTGGATCATTCGTTCAGGAATTTTTAGAGCACAGCACATTCCAAAAGGCATCCTTCTTTCAAACATCACACATGCTGCATATTTAAAAAAATTAATGGCCTTAAAAAAAAAAACATTGAAGAAAGACAAAAGTAAATGCCCACCTTTTTCACATCCCAGAGGGTTTCAGCTCCGTCTAGATCGTGCATTGCACCATCTCTCAACACGGCCTGTCTCAGACAACCATCAGTGCATGCAATAAGAGCGTGATTTGGATCACCGAGTCCAGCGAGAAATACGCAAGGGAGCCAGTTCGTCGCCTTCACACCGTAAGTCGCTCCAAATTTCATTTTGTAGTGGGCTTCCACCACGTCTTTCTTCCCGTCTCTGCATCAAAGAAAAATATACATTACTTCAGTGATTAAAAGTCCAACGAAAAATATGAAAAATTATGCACTGAAGATTATGCTGACCGTTTCTTGATCACGCCCTTCTTCCACTCCAATTCTCTCACGCAGGCGCTGTCACAAATCAGGGCCTTTTCAGTGGTGGTTCCAGCTTGAGTGACGGCTTGAATACCGCACACAAACAATTTGAGCCTATAAATATGAAGAGAACAAAATATCAGAGAGGAATCCAGCCATTTTTTTTTTTGTTAGGGGAGGGAGAATTTGGGTTCAGGGAAAGAAAAATAAAATTTAAATACGCATACTGTATTATACAAATACAGTGAGACCCCCAGATGCGGACATAATTGGTGCATCAAGAGTGTACCTAAGTCAAAATGTCCCTAAGTTGAGTCTCATTTCCCCTGAAACTTACATTATATAATTTTCAATTGTTGTTTACTGGAAGAAATATTCTCTAGATGGAATTCCATGAAAAAAATTGTTGGCCACTTGAATTTGATTCAGTGAATATATTTTCAACTTAATAAGAACATTTGGAGCATTGAATAGTGTATCTCTGTACTGTACATTGAAAGGTTGGCATCTAAAAAAATAACATTCAAATTGCAAAGAGAGAAGGAAGTCCCTCTATGCAATAGGTATTTTTTTTAATAAGTGAATGGATGGGCAAATGATGGGAGAAATGACAAAGAATTCTTCTTGAATACATCTTAGGGTTGGAAATATCTGTTTCTTGCAATCAAGACAAATAAAAGTAAATTTTTGTGAAAGTTATTGGCAATTTTTTCATGCAATGTCCTCATAACATGTTGAGTCAGTGTTTAATGTTGGGCCTTTCTAATGCTCTTTTTATTGAAAAATAAATGTCCCTGTGTCAAATTGTCCTCATGTCAAGGTGTCTGCATGTGGGGGTCTCACTGTAAATCATACAAGAAAAATCAACAGGCACCATTTCCTCTTATAATTTCATCACATAATCACACTAGTCCATGTACAAGTTGAACATATTTATGTCAAACATCAAGGGACCAGAAAAAAAATCAATTTAGTGAGGCTTAAAATTTGGGAAATAAGCATTTTTTGTTGAAGGAAAGAAAACAGAATTACAGTGCAGGAAATTATAATTGGTGATTTTCTAGGCATAGAATTGCTCCTTAAATGAGTTGACAGGAACTTGGAGGCAAGGGTTAATTTGCCCAAATAATAATCTTCCTGTTCCTTTCAAATCACATCCTTCATCCTTGCAATTTTCATTGCTTTCCTTTTCCCTGTTTCAATAAAATAATAGCCAAAATGCCTTCAGAAAATTCGAGTTATAGAAGTTTGAGAAGGAAAGCCTTGGAGTTAGAGGGGTTCGTATTGCATTGTTTTCAAGGAAATTCAGACAGAAACCTGAAAAAAAATTGACATGGGGTGGGTTCCAGTTATTAAGGTTTAAATATACTTGGAAAAAGCTTCAACTTTAATAATCAGAAACTTCGGACATTCGAAGACCTCTTTCAATTCCAGGGATTAACAAAAAGGTTTTTGCATCATCCCACGCTACAAAAAATATTAATAAAAAATACTCACGGATTAATATCCAAGCCGCATTCGATGCTGACTCTTCCCCTCAAAGTAATCGCATTCTCGACGGTGAATAACACAACTTGAGGCGGATTCGACGTTGTCACCAAGAGCAACTTGCGTTCCGATTCGAAAACGACGCCCCGCACCGCCGCGGACGCCTTCGGCCACGACGGAACGGCCACCTTCTTCAACACCTTCTCCTGACCGCGGAGCATAACGGCGCTCCACGCGAAAAGATCGCCGCCGAGAGATCCCGTCACCAGACGCTTGCTCGCCACACCTCGGAGTTCGCAGGCGCAACTAACCGCCAAATTATGCGACTGTAAAATAAAATTGGCAGTCGGAAAATTGAGGGATAGTTGACTAAATTGAAGATTGTTTGGAGCACCACGCGATGACGAAACAATGACGGAAGAATGTAATCTCGTATTCTTCTTCGAAAAGAGGCCCTTTCCAAACAAAAATATTTCCGAAATTACGGGACGATTAAAAGCAAAAAAAAAGGCGAATACTCAAACGGAAGTTCAATTCCGTTCGAGTGTCCAATTATTAGAGGTATTCATTCTTTGGTGGCTACGGCTACAAGAAGAAATATTTCTTTTTGACGGAGTTGGGACAGTTAAGGGGGAAATGTCATTCAAACTGCAATATTTTTTTAAAATATGACAGCTAAAATGCTGGAATTGGTCTCAAAAATTCGAAAAAAAAAAATTGTGCACGTGTAAAAAAAAATTTAAATATCACTTATTGAGGTGTTCAGGTCATTTGAATTCCAAAAACGACGAAAAATCCAACGTTTTCTCAAATATTTTTCTTTCTTTTCCAGTACTGCAAGCTCAGGGTGAAAATAAGCGGACTGAACGCTTGAATCCAGCACGTAACAAATTCCAAGGGTCAAACCCACATATTCTTCCCTCATATTTGATTCAATGCATATTCTGTGATTATATTACCGAACAACGGTCGAAGAAGAAAATGTCGAATGAGAAGAAGAAACCCGGAGAAAATTCAGAAAAATTTTACAATTTCCTAGACCACTTTGGCACTCACATTATCAACTTGAACAGGTTCCCAATTCCCATTCGCCTTGATCATGTTCCAAACGACCAGAACCCCATTCAAATCACCCGTCACGGCAATCCTCAAAGAATCCAGGATCACGATCATGGATACCGCAGCCTTGTGCGGAGACCTACAAAAACATACAAATAAAATTTTAAAAATTGCAAACTTTCGCGAAATGTCCATTTACCTCAAGACATGAGCTGAATCAGTCGTTTCGGAATTTTGGACATCATCATTCGATTTTCGAATCGCTGCGGTGTCCCAAATGCGACAGGTTTTGTCGTTTCCACACGTGACAAACTTCCCACCCGAGCCGAAGCTTGACAATGATGACAGCGGGCCCGAATGTCCAACGAAAGTTGCTTCTTCTTTACCCTGAAAAATAAATCCATCAATCAATAAAACAAACAGAACATGTCATCAGTTTTTCTAAACCTCTTGAAACTTTGTTGATTACAGTATTCAAAATAAAGTTTTAAAACCGATTTAGAAGTCTTCCCTGATTTACGCGCCCGTTTATGTTTCTACAGTTTAGCAATATCCCAGACAATTAATTACAGTACAGTATTTTCAGATCAACTTTTTCTTTTGTGCATCAGGATTCAGGAGTCTTCTTCCATGTCCACATTACCAGTGCTGAACTTATTCCACAGATGTCGCTCATATAGCATTCAATTCAATATTGAACTTCCCTGAATATATATTCACCAACCAGTTCCTCGCAGATCCATTCAAAATTCTTGGAAAGTAAAAGGTTATAAGGATTTATTTAGATTTAGCGTCAGTTCAACAAATAATTCCATCAGGCAAGGTGTAGAATTGGGAATGAGGGTTTCCCTTGCACCTCAACAATTTTGTGCACGCAACTGATTAGGTACAGTATAGGAATAGTATTCATATCCTGTAATTATCTGGTCAGAGATCCAAAAAGATCCTGATCTATACTGGCGCAGAATATGAACATTAATAATGAGTCATGCGAATGCACAGAATAAGAATTCATCAATGGATGAGATTAGAATATGAACACTAACCCCATCCATTGATACATGAATGAGCTCAGAACTGATATTTCACGGCCAGTTATTCACAGCACATGACTGAACCAACTCGGAAATAACATTCAGAAGTATCAAACCTATAAAAAAAATTCCACACAGCATGTTCTGGACAATCTCTGACCTCAGGAAGTAAATGCAAAGAACTCACCTGAAATAGCTGCAAAACGTTGATATTCCGAGCGTCAGCAACCACGAGAAGAGCATCTTCGATTTCCAAATCGCCCAGGATCTGCTTCCGGTCTTTTCGACCAGAATTCTGCTTCTCTTGCTCTTCCGCTTCCACTTCGTCGGCCCAGCTCAAGGTTTTGTCCTCTTCGCATTTTTGCGCGAAATTCACTCGGAAAGCAGGAATGGAATACGCCGTCGTTGTGAAAGTCGCCAACTTCGCTCCCGTAATGGCCCATAAAATCGTGACTCCGTCCGAACTGCAGCTTACGACGTAGATTCCCTGCGATTGTTTCGGGACAAACACAGGAATACATTTGAGGAGTCGTTGTGGATTTTTTTTTTCAAAACGTTAGGTAGGTATACTTCATCACGTAAAATTAGGTGCCTCCTCAAAATTTTCAAGATCATTTTGTTAAATTTAAGAACTGCGTAACACATGTGAACATCTTTGTCCAGTATACACACAATGCAAGTATCCATTAATTATTGTACTGTATCTAATATTTTATATCGATAATTTTGGGAGATAAAAACCAAATGATTACTATCTGGGACAATTTCTCCTTCTTATGCATAATTCAAGGAAAATGCTCCCGAGAACAATCTGAAATCCTTTCTTTGGGTTAAAGTTTCTTAAATGGTCTTGGCAGAGATATTCACTCATCATTAAAAAAAGCCACGCATGATTAGCAGAAGCTTAATGAAGCCCACCATTTCTGTGGGACTCTCATTAAGCAGTTGAGGGATTCTCGAGGGTCTGAAGGAACCAATCAGCAATTTTAAAGAATTTTGCTCTGCCCCATAGACTTTTTTTTAGGAAATTAACCACACACTGTGATTGATTAGGTCCATTAAACGAGTCATCACTGAACAGTACAGCAAAAACCAGAGAGAGGAAAATCGTTACAGAAATATTTAGTTCAATCACTCGTACTTCGGCTTGAACGCTCGTCACGGCATTCTCGTGTCCATTCCGCATGTGACTGAGTAGCTTCGCCTTTTCCGACGAATAAACCGCAACAGTGGCGTCCGCAGAACCTGTAACGAGGTAATCCTTGCCCAAAGCGCATCCCCAAGCCACACAGGTTACAGAATCAGAATGCCAGTAGCCCACTTCCACGGGTGCTCCGAAATCACTTTCCGGTTGTAATATTTCAGCCGATTTCCACACACAAACCCTCTACGTCGAATAAAAATAAAAAAGGAAGAGACCCAGAAATTTTCCATCAAGATGCCAGCAGCAGAGTTTCCCTCACGCAGATCGAAAAATAATTTTTTTTCCTAAATTTCACACGCACGATACAGGGAAATATTTCAACATACGCTGTTCACGCCAGACGCAGATGCCAAGCAAGTCCCGAGCTTATTTACAGCAATGCTAACCACTGGTCCAGTAACTTGTGATAATGCGGACACGGCTTTGATTTCTCCAGTGTCCAGAATGCTTTTGGCATCAAAAATCCACACGGTTCCGTCATGGTAACCTGAGAAATATACATTGAATGCTGCATCAGCAAAACAAACGTATAAATACAGTACTGTACTTCGCTGGATTGAAATCCAGATCATTTGAGATACTGTATTTGGTAATTAAAATAAACCACATCTCATGTCAGACAGATACGGTTATTGATGCTAATCAATATTTAATTCTTCCTACTCGAAGAAAATGGAATTTTCAAAAGGGAGTTGACGATTCCAGTGAGGGCAGAGATCCCCAAGTTATTTTCCTCTCTCAACCTTCGAAAAGTCACTGCATGAATTTACGGCATTACGGGTAAGGTATTTTACATGAATGATGCTCAATAATTTCCCGGGGAATCGAAATTCCAAACTTCACCTGCCGTTTTCTTACAACGTCAGATTGAAGGAAATCCGAGCAAATAAAAAAAATCCAAAATTTTAAACCGAAAAGTTAAGACGCGTGAACGATTTCAACGCAGGACGAGATTGCATGTATATACCGGCGAGCACAAGAGATCCGTGACTGCTCAACGCATTCACGTTCGGAGAACCAATCTTCTTATTAAACATCTTCCCGTCATCTCGCAAAAACGTGAGTAAATTCGAGCCATCCGCAAATGCCGCACAGAGACGACCACCAAACAGACACAGCACTTGAATGACCCGAGTTTGTCCCACAACGGCCTCAGTCACGTAACTCCTGCCCGGCTTGGACAAGTTGAACATCTTCAACCGACCATCTCTGAAGCCCACGGCCAACGCGTTCAAAGTGGTTTCTTGCAAGTGCATGCAGGATATTTCGTCAGAGGGTGGTAATGAATAGCACCTGAAATAAAACAAGGCTATATACACATCAGCTTTGGAACCAGTCTCTTGAAGTATAATTCCATGCATGTCATCGCGCCCATGAATGTTTTACGAAAAGATCTGGTCTTTCCTTAACGGATTATAAGAGATGTTTCAATTCCACGCGGAATAAACATAGTGCAGTATTTCAAGAACAGTTATCGAATGTAAATTAATTCTTCAATAATATATACATTAGAATCTCGTTATAACGAATGATTGCGTGGAACAACCTCATTTCATAGGTCCCAGCACAATACAAAGGATGTTATTTGAATTTCTTCATAACGAAGCATTTTTCCAGGCCGTAAATCAAGGTACAATACAGTACATTATTTGTTTAGGGCGTGATGAAAATGTTTTAAATACTCTATTCAGAAATTATGAGCATTTTCCGGGAAATCAGCCACTATAGTTGAAGTTCAATTAAAGTACAGTAGTTGGATTCGGTGAAATCTTTCGCAAAATTTTCAACAAAATTCTGTAAGTCAAGAGCACGACTTGCAGTAATCTCGTCATTATGAAGCCCTTGCTGGGACCAGCAGGATAAAAGAAATCGTTGCAATGATCCCCAATCAATATTTTTGCTACGCTGAAGAGTCCCAAGAAAGCAATTCGTTCTAAAAATTCGTTTCATCAAGATTTCACTCTAACTGCATACAGCAAACAAAATAGCGAGAATCATACTTCTTCAGAGAGCTGGAGTTGGTGGGCCAAACAAAAATCCTGCCGTCGTCTCCGCCGCTCACGACAGTCATTCCATCTCTCGTGAATGCCACAGAATTCACGGCACCGGCTCCCAGGGCCGGGAAAACGCCAACTTCCATTCCCAGGGAACTGGACCAAACCCTGACGGTTCCGTCGACAGAGCCCGAAGCAAGCGTGAGTCCATCTGCGGATAAAGCGATGGATCGCACGGAACCTGTATGTCCACGAAGGATGGCAATGCGATGTAACTTGACGGTGTCCCAGATGCGGATGAGCGAGTCCCAGCCTCCGGTGACGATCACGTTTCGGGTAGGGTGGTGACTCACGCATGTGACTGGCTTGGGCTGGGTGACGCTGGAAAGTTCTCGATTGTCGCCTGTGTTCCAGATCTACGCGATGGGACGAAATGAGAATCAATAACGTACTTGTGGAATTATCAAAATATTCCTGCGGTCGACTGATCAACAAGTTCCACGTCCCAGCGATTTCCTCAACAACTACACAGGTGTCGCCCAATTCCGTGACATTCGATCTGAGTAAGATGGACGACACGCTCCTACGATTTCCCCATTAACTACACAGGTGTCGCCCAAATGCAATATGACGTACAACAACAGTGAATCCCAGGTCACGATGATACTAAATTGTACCAGGCTATTCCTGCATGTTTACACATGGGCTGGGTCAGTAGAGGCTCTCCTACGTTATTCCAAAAGATCACGAAAAAATTGAAATCAATCTAAAATTTTCGAGGGACACTTTCAGTTCGACGAAGAACGTTCTCGACTTCAATATTTTTATCGGCATCTAATATGCGTCACCTGGATCAAATTATCAATTGGAATAGAACGTGAGAGGCAATGTTTTTTCACGCGGTACGTGCATTAAAACATCAAAGTGTTCGAAAATAAACAAAATTTTAAATGGAAAAAAAAAGAGCACACAAACCTTGATCTTTCCGTCCCATCCGACAGAGACGTAGCTGAACAAGTCCGGGTTGACAGCGATCCCCGTTACCCTCGTCAAGTGACCTTTGGTTGATGAAAGACGCAACCCACGACCCACGTCCCACACACAAATCTCGCCATTCTCTGACCCCGACACAAGCTTTTCGTCGCCCAAAAAACACAAGCTGTGCACCGCGGCCGAGTGTCCGACGAAGGTTTTCATTTCACGTCGTGTTTCCAGACAGAAGAGTCGAATCACGGCGTCTTCCGCGGCCACGGCAAGAATGTTCGAGTCGGTAGACACGCAGCATACAGTCAAACGCTGTAGAAGCAGACAATTATATACATAAAAAAAATGCAGTAAACAAATTTACGCCGTTTTCGCTCCAATACTTCAAAAATGCGTTGATGGCGAGATTCTTTCGCTTTATCGTCCGCAATTAATTATTCCCATGAAAGAAAAGAAGTTCAGTTCATAAAATTCATGTTTCGCGCATTCCTCATAAACTGATGCGGCAAAACACGATGGAGTTCCCCTTCCCGAAAACAAGCGCTGGCATTGGAGTGAGTGCAAAAAAAAAGATTAACGCTTTTAATATTTTTGCATTAGAAATAAAGTGAATAAAATTTTTATTAAATACTGTACCTTGTTGACTATTCCGGACACCACGGCCAAACATGGATCTGAAGCAAACTCGGGCCTATTCTGCCATTCAACTAAAGCAATTCGGCCTTCTTCCACAGCCATTCTTTCTTCGGCTTCCTTCCTAACCAAGGATTCCTTTCTTTCATTCAGGGCACACTGGAGCACCAAAGCCGGCGTGCTGCTTGCAGAAGAAAAGCATTATAAAGAAATATTTATCATAAGTAACTATGTTCATGCAAAATTGAACTTCGACTGGATGAAAAGAGCGCCATACAAGTGAATGACGTGAATAATATATGAACCTTGCGAGAATGTGTAGATGGCGACGAACGAACGCGTGGTACTCCTTGAAGTCTGCGGATTCGAACAAAATGGAATGACTTTTTTGTGCCTCCTTGTCGGCACATTTGAGATGCACATCCACAGTTTTGGATACAAGCTTAAAATCTTCCAGCAACGTTTCTGCCAGCCCCAGTGATGCTTTCAGCTCGATGAACCTGACATGAAATGCAAGAAAATTTAAAAAAAATGCTGAACAGAATGGGAATATGAGGAATACAAAGCTAATTCGCTGTAAAACTTGAAGCAGAAATTGGCAAAAAATTCAAAAATACACACCTACTACATGAACGCAATAAGAGAATAGAGGCAAACTAGTCGCTCAAAGTTTCTGCGAATGGACTTTCTCGTGTATGTGATCAACCATTTATCATCATTTTCAAAAAGGGGTATTTCTCTTTAGAGAAAAATTACCTAAAACTTCATTTAAGAAAAATTTAGCTCATAAAATTTGACATTAGAGGTGCTCTGGGATTTGAATAGTTCAATTTCGCTATAATCAAGTGAGAATCAAACCCACTTCAATTACTCAGAGAATCATACGGTACTTGATTTTTCAGGAAAGCTTTTTCACAGGCCAATGCAGCGTTAAGAAAATGCTGTCAACTTACCTCAGATTGCACAAAAATTTATTTCCAAGGACTTCAAAACGTCCAGCGTGACAGAAATGATACGGCAAAGAAATCAAATCTCTCGGGGTGGATTTACTTGAAATATCGTCCGATTCCTCATCCCAACATTTGCAGGAATGGTAGCCTTTGGAAAAGAATAAAAACAGTCCAATTTAGAAGAAACGCGAGCCAGAATAGTCAACTTGTGTCAGCAACAAGGGCAGTCGTAAGAGATTCAAAATTATTATAATTTTTTTTCGTATTGTGTGTCATCTCAATAGTTGGGGAGCATAGACTTATAGACTTAGAGTTTAAGCAAGGTAAGCAATTTTGCGAGAGAAAAAAAACGAATTTTCTACAATCCTTAAAAAAAATATTAGTCAGAACTGAACAGTAAATCATCAGTGACAACTTTGTGATTGTCAAATTTATCTTGGCAGTTGCAATGCTTTGTAAATACTGTACAAAATCCAATATATCTGAACAAAACTCCCAATTAAATTTAGTCGAAGACATAAATTTCACGCCACATGAGCTGAAGTATCTCCTTCTTCGTCCTGATCTTCCAGGAAAAAGGAAAAACATTTTCTCAAGCCAAGAAAAGATAGATACATAAGACAAATATTGCGACAACCTCGTGATCTAAGCGGTGACTAGGTTAGAATCTTATTGAAACTCTTCATGCGATCTTTTAGATAATGAATTACTGGGGAATTTTTCAAGAGCGACACCTTCCTGATATTTCAGGAAGAAACGTAGGGTATTTCGGTGTTGATAAACTTACTAGCAAGAATTCCATGCAAGTTCGTCACGAAAGTCGATCCCTTGCTGCCCACTGCGAGGTACCTAGAAGAGGCCACATCACGGAGAACCCTATGTGGGAACAAGTACACCGTTCCAGCACCAACAGGTGAAACGAGCCAATGTTTCACGGAACGTAAAAGACGCGAGACCAATCCGAACCCATCAAGTCCCAGCAACCCTTCAGCGTGAGCGTAAATTTCAGGAATGCCGGAGACAAATGATCGTCGAACGTCGAAATCCGAAGTCAGCGACAGTGCGAAAACGTCCATGATTTCTTGTTCTTGTAAACCTAGTAATTGCAAAAGTTCATAAAATCTTCACACAATGAGCAAAATCTGAAAACGAAATGATAATTTCTTCATACAGAATCAAAGCCCGAGCTTCAACAAGTCTATGATTTCCTCAACTATTCACAGGCGTCACTTCAAACGCGTGATAAAGTTGCACATCGGTAAATGGGATCTACTGTATGATCAATCCAATCGCGAGGAACTTCTGCCATCCAAAAATCTTATCAATCGTATCGTGCAAAGCTATATAGAATTTATATTGACTAATTGGTTTCGAAGCCTCGAAAAATCCTCCAGCCGAATACGGTGAAGATACTTGAAGGAATGTTTCATCGCATTTGACAAATATCCTTTATGAAGCTCTAAGTACCGTAATATCTCTTAGCAAATACGTAATGCATCGTTGAACAAGAAATACCGTACAAAAACAGCAAACACACACTCCGAAACTATCAAAATAATTTTTGAACAATCAAAAGACATCTTGTTAAGCTTTCAGCATCCTTTTAGACGGGTTTAGATGGTATTTTTCCCTCTAATTTGTTTCAGATTACGGTGAATCAGGTCCGGTTAATTTGAAGGTACTGTACTGTACTCTCTTTGTTAGGGTTTTAGACTCATTTAGGCGACACCTGTCCATGATTCCCGAAAATGAAGACCACAGTGTTGAAGCTGAAGAAACCGAAATAATTTCTCACCAGACCGAGAGATTAAAATCAGCTGCATAATTCGCTCGACAAGGTCTCTGCCAAATTCCGATTCCAAGCGTCGAAGGATTTCTTCAAATAACAACTCCAACGAAACACCCAACTTCCGAATCTTCTCATCCAACTGAAAATTAAAGATCGAGCAATCTGAGTTAGGAAAATATTCAGTGGAAAATTAAGCACGATTATTCAAAACCTTCTCAAACAGGCCGAAAATACGGATCTCTTCAACAGCGAGCTTGAGATAGAGCGGATTTCCCGCGTCCCGTTTCGATACGAGCATTCTCAACTGCGTAAAAAAAATGCATAAAAATTAAAATTAAAGCGAAAAAAGTGCATAAAAATGCAGCACAGCGGACAAAAAATTCCAATTTCACCACGAACATAATGGAAACGGACCTTCGGAGCGGAAGATGAGTCATCTAACGCTTTTCCGTATCGGGATAGTAAATTTTTCACGATGTCCATCCTTTCGTTGACCAACAAAGGTCCTAGAGTCCAAACACGCTTTGCTTTCGAAGCTATCACGTCAGTGGCTCGATGTTTCGGCGAATGATCCGATGCACCATTCGACGATGCCTCCTGTTGACTGACAATCAATGCCAAGCCCTTAATAATAAACGAAACCAATTTTGAAATGTCAGACAGTTGGAGCGGAATTGATGCACATATAGTTTACGACCAACAGCCAGCCATACTCATAGAAAGGTTGCGGAGTTTTCACAATACAAATTATTCATTTAGCCTCATCACGGAAAATTCTGCAACGCTGGATTCTCGAAATTTCCCTCGAAATACAGTATACAACATTCTAAAGATGTAATACATTTTTTAGTGAAAATTTTCAAGTGAAAGATAGATGATGTGATCAATCACAAAAACCTTACATTTTCATTTTAATACCAGTCAAGTGCAATTTAAGTTTAACAACACAATCTTGTTACTTTCAAGCAATTGTTTCGACATAATTTTTGCGAAATCTAAAATTTTCTACAGTACTTGTTTCCAGAACCCGAGAGACGATTTTCAAGCTATAATAAAAAAATACAGGTTTTCGCAGTTACCGTGTATCGTTCTGGCTCGAAAGAAGTATTTTCACAGAATATAACTTCTTAAAATATTACCAAAAGGATGCACGATTTTCATTGAACCTGAGGTCTTGAAAATCGCCACGTTGGCGTTTCAGTCTTTTGTCGATTAACCAGCAGGATATCATACACTTCTTACAGATCTTGAAGAAATTGTTCAGTGGGAATTAAGGAAGAGAAAATCAGACTATTCTCACCTCTGGGATTCCACTAAACGAAACACATTCCCAGAAATCCGCCATTTGAGAATCCGAGAAACCATCAACGAAAATCACCGCACTCTTGTCTCTGTCTTTAACTAACGACTTCAGAAGAACTGGAAAGTTCTTCATATACTCCTCACGACTTTCAGTTTTCAGCAAGGTTCCAGGATCGACTTCTTCGTCCCCGTCTTCAATGACCAAAGATTCTCTCAACGAGATGTCGTTGGTGATGGAATCGAACAGATTTTTGATAATCGTCGAGGAATCGATGACTGTTTGTTCGGTAACATTCAATTCATCCACGAAGCAGCTGATGCTGATCGTCTTGGTCGACTGCATTTTCAGTTGATTGCGCAATTCTCTCTGTTGAGAATAAAACGGATAAACGACTCTTTTTCGGCAACACGCGGAAGTATTCTCTCCTTCTTAAAGCCCGAGCAAGTTTTGTGAAACTTCAGGTATAGGTGTCGCCTGAATCGCACCCAAAACAAAAGGACACACGTTCGCAATAAACTAAACCATTTTGCCAAAGCATAACAAAAAATACTGAAGTACAGTACTGTACAGTGACATTCAATGCTTTCAAGCAAACAAAATAACTTCAACTGATTTCAGACGACATCTATGCGATATCAAAAGAAATTCAAGAATGTCATCAGAATCGTTGACCGACGTAAACAAGAATTCGTTGCGACATGACTAAGCAACTGTACTGCGTCAAGCAGAACAAACCTGGCCCATATTTCAACTAACTGAAAGAAATGCAGTAACCTTTGGAAGAATCCTACTTAAATATTCAAGAAAAATCAAATTAAAGTCATTGCTTTCATTTGCGTGTACTTCACCAACCATAAACGCAGTCTTTCCAATGCCCTGCTTGCCAGTGATCAAATAGAGTCCACCTTTCTCTGAGATTTTCGTCACGGCGTTCTTGGCTTCATTCAGCGCGACTTGTCTTCCAAAGAATTCCTTTTCGAGCGAGAACCTCGAAAAGCTACATTTAGTTTCTTCGATTTCCTAAAAGAAGGGGGAACATATTAAAATTTTGTACAGTACTTGAAAACAAAAAAGTCAAGGTAATAAACCTCAGAATTTGCCATTTTCGTCACAGAATGCCAGACTTGATCGGCTACTCGCTCGGCAAATTCGTTCAGGTTAGCCATGATTGGTTTTCCATCGACGCAACCACCAAAGAAAGCCGGATATGCATCGCAAACTTCTGCTCCACTCGCTTTTATGCGTGACTTGAGCAAAGCTAATTTCAGTCGACTTTCTTCGCTCTCCGCTAAAAAGTCCCTTTTCATGTTTTCCGGCACGGAGCTAGTTTTGCAATTTTGAGAAAAAATTAAATTAATGAATCATCGGTCATCCCACGTTACTCGCATACACGCATGACTTCGGAGTTGACGATCTTCGAACATATTCTGTGCAACCAGATGTCTCACAAATTCAGCTGAAAGTTCTTCAGAATTGCCGCCAAGACCATTGCTGATTTTATGCAAGTTCTATTAAAGGGTCAGGAGGAGCAAATTTAAGTTTCAAGACGTAAATTTTCCGAAATCTACAGTATATTAGCGGTATGGTTCAATTTTTGGAAGAGAGCAGATAAGCGTGATCAAATTGGCGGATAAAATTGTCTAAAAAATGTGGGGGGAAATACAGATCAATAGTTTCATTTTTCAAAAAGAATGATGGCCGGGTACATCGTTTCCGGACTGCGCGAGGAAATCACACCTTTTGTATACATGTATTATCGTATGCTGAAGAGGATATATACTAACCTCAAAGAGTCGGGATCTCTAAAAAAGAAGAACGCTTTCTCCTTAAATTTATCTCTAGTTTCATCAGCCAAAACGGCAAATTCCATCTCGAGGTCCGTCACGGATTTGCCCGGTGGCACACGTTCGAGCCATGCAAATTCCTCACGCGACGATATTCCCTCATAGTTTTCCACAACCCTTCCGTATCTTTCTCCTAAAATCCCGATGAAGATGTCGCTGTGGGCCACAGCTTCCAAGCTCATTTCCAGGGACCTGTAAATATAGACAGGATTGAATGAAAAAAATTATTGCGGACCGAAATATTGATGGAATGCAGAAAATTTATACTATACTTTTCAATACTATTTTCTTCATCTTCGGGGACACCCCAACGCAGGTCAACTTCCACAAGATTAATTCGCAATTGCCTCGCTTTTTCTCGCAATATAGGGAAAACGTAACGTCCAAGCAAGTCTCTCTCCCCGTGCATGTCGCGGAACGGCGAAGAAATGAATACTTGCACAGTTTTCCAAACTCTGCGGCAAAATAACACACGGAAGCATGCAATTAAAAAAAAATAATAATGAAAAAATACTATCTGAGAGGGTTGGTTAAACTTTTCGCCATTTTTGCACTTCATGTGTTCAGTTCATTTCCAAGAAAGGGAGTGAGGGAATGCTGCAGCTTTGACGAAATAGTATTCAATTCTTCCACTTCTGCTCAATTTTGCCAGGCTGGAATGGTTCGACGATTTAAAATTGAAATTTTACCAAATCGAAGGGTGGAATTACAATTAATCCGTCACATTTGTACTATTTTGTGAATTTGAAGGCGGTAAAAGGGCAATAAAATATTTAAACGTATCTGCCACGAATCTTAAGACCATTATTTCAATGAATAAAATAAGCTCTCATCTACAGAGTTTTTCCGGAAATTATGTGGAATTGAAGGTTTCCCTGAGATTGCAACTGACGAGCAAGTTTTGCGAGAAAGATTGCAAACCCGCAGCGAATGAGGAAAAGGCTAGCTTTCATTTGAAAAGGATCCTCGGAGGCTCGTATTTCCGAAAATCTACACGAACAACCAAAACCATCAGAATTGTTTACAATTACAAATTTAGAAAATTGTGTTGTACTTGGCGGAGATAACGTACAGCACCGAAGTATCCTCAATGAGCAGAACAAGTAAAACCTAATCAATTGACCGAATATACCTCAGTGCTTTAATTCTTACAGAAAATCCAAAAAACTTCCTAAAATTATCCCACGGGATATTGTTCGGAGAAATTTGGAATAAACCCTCGGCAAAAAATCAAATCATACCTGTTCAAGGAGCTGGAGTCATTCAAATGAGCCTTGCTTTGGAAATTGGTCAACATGAGTCGAGAATTTACGCGTGCGGGTAGGTTAAATCTTCTGTCAATTTTGTCCACGTGCTCGATCCGTTTAATTCCACTTCTCTCAGCCGCAAATCTGGAATCATTCAAACAACATTTTTGGTTTCATTTCGCCAATTCGACGACAGAAAAAAAAAAATTACCTCAACAAATGCTCGTTGAATCCAGATATCATCACATTTTTCTCACAAGCTGACGATGAACTAAGTTCAGCATCCAAACTGAAAAAACGGACGCAAGGAACTTGAAATTCGTGAAACAAATTTGCCTCGGGAAAATATGAAATAAAAGCTCACCTTGTTTTTTCCGCAGCAAGATTCACCGACACATACAGAAAATCGGGATTGACGAACGCCCGATACTGATCCAAAAATGCCTCCATATTGACTGATAATCCGTTGTTACTCGTCAGCACAATAAAGGTATCGATCTTTTCAGCGAAAAACAAAAATAAAATAAATAAAACAATCCTTTGTCTCTACACATAGCCATGAAGATTGTTAAATACGATACAAGAAGAAACTCCGGAGTTAATTGAGAAATAAAACTAACGTAGCCAACAAATGAATACGAACCTTTTCTCTACTCGCTAACACACGCCGAACCGTGGCTTGATCCATGAACGTCTCGGAATAACTTTTAATACCCTGTCGGCGAAATTCAAAAACGCAAAACAAAAATTAATAAGTTTATGACAAAAGAGCTCTATAATGACATTAAATGAAACTCACCCTGCCAGTAGAACACTCTGCAAGCAATAATGGCAAACTATCAAGTACAGAACCAGGAGCTTTTTTCAGTTCTTTTGGTTCGATTTGATCGCCAAATCCGGCAAATAACTTGGCGTCTTCGCCGACGCTAAGGGCCATAAGACCAAGCAGCAGACCGACCTCCAACAACTAAAAACACACGTAATGAAATTTCGTTTATTGTATGAATAAACGTCGACATTTGGGTTCATAGAAAAAGCGCAAAAAGAAAACAACCGTTCGGGCTGAAAATACTTTGTGGAGATTTTGAAAAAAAAATCCCAAAAAAATTGAAGAACACCCTGAGGTAACCTTCCGAATTAATCAAGTTATTAATTGAAGCTATTGCCATAAATTTTAATTACCTTCTCAAGTTCACAAAATGAAAACTGATGAATGGGAGAATTTTGACGTCAATCGTTTTGTAATGCCTGCACAGGTAGATTCTCACTACAACGATTTTCTCTGAACATAATAACGATTTTTCGTTCCATAGGGGAGAAAATCTACTCAACTATATAGGTTCTCTTACAACGGAATTCTCTTCACAACGCATCCTTTTTCGACCCCTGGATTTCTTCGTTGAGTGAATCGACCTGTATCATGAAAAACTGAATGATAATTTCAGAAGGAGCGTTAAAAAATGCTTGGGTTGGTCTCGTATACGATTTTCAAAAATTCTCGGGGAACTCAAAGCTTTTTCGGAACACCTATGGGAAATTTTTTCACGAGTAAATCTCAAGACACACGCCGTATTACAGTACTTACAGTTCTAGGTTTCCCGAGTCCTCTGGCTGTTTGACAAGGAGTCACATGCATCTTCTTGGTAGCGTCGACGAAAATCCACGTTTTCCCAGCAATCGGAGGAATGTTATTGCGCGTAGCAATCACGACAGCTTTGTTCAAGGCTTTGCGGTATTGTTCAATCAGGTCCAGATTATACCTCATATTCCTAAACAATCAATGAGAAATCTCCCAATTAATCAAATGATCGAACTCAAAAATGGTGAAGTACAATTTTTTCAAGGGCCTGTATGTACTCCCCACAGGAAATTACGAGTCAATTCACACCTGGCTTTCGTAGCAAGGCGCTTCTGCTTCTTCTTCCACCACTCGTCCCTTAAAACGGACTGCTTAGACTTGGACAATCGTTTGCACGGTTTACGATTGACACCCGATGCAGCATCATTTTCTGCTTCCCGATTTTTTGCTTCTGCCTCTTGAAGCTTCTTCTTCAACTCATCCAAAATGTTGAATGCCGTGAAAAATCTGGAATGAACAAATCAAATAAAAGATTCACATGCAAAAAATAAAGAGAGAAAAAATGCTTTGCTGACCGGAATGCGGGTAGTTTGCTTCTGGTCACTGGAATTTCCGATGACAGCGTTCGAATGACAGCGGCATGATGCTCCTTGGAAATTCCAGCAAGGATCAAATTCCGAATATTCCGCAGTGTTGCGATGAAAGGCAATTTCTTTCGATCTGAAGCAACAATTGGAAAAGTTAAAATTTGGCAAAAAAAAAAAAAAAAAACATTATGATTCACGATGAGTTAGATAGGAGATTCTCACCAATCAAGTCCTGCCAAGTTTGTGCTTTGTTTCCCTTCGAAGCGATTTGAGTCTCCCAAGTTTCAGCAGTTGGCAACTTCATCCGTTTCCCGGCTCGAGAAGAATCGAAACTTCCAGGCAACTTTGATTTGAAAAATTCCACCTCATTTGAAGGATATCTAACAGGTAAAAAAAACAGCATACCTGTATATATAGATTCTAAAACCAAAAACTGTTTCATGTGCAGAGGTGTCACTCGCATTAGTCAATTGACCAATAATGAGTAAATCGAACCTTAAATAACAAGAAATACTCTATTGACCAACGCACATTGAATTTATCCAACAAAATCTAACCTAATTTAATCAAGAAATTTAGGAAAATAAATTCTGGCGAAACCTAGGGAATCGTCGAGAAAATTATGTGTCCGGGTCGTTGGAGGGGGATGGGAGAACCAATATAAGTACACATACTTTTTCCCGACTAGACTCATGACGATTTCGGCTGGAACACTGATGTGCAGGAAACGTATGAGCTGTTTGATTGTGAAAGTCCGCCTTTCCAGATCATCAAGATCGTCATCCTTTTCCGGAACTACTTCCGGTACATCCTTGGACTTGATCCCGAATTGTCTCATAGTGGTCGGATTCATTTCCAATTTTTTCTAATAATTAAAGCAAAATAAAAACGATAACACAGAAAAGTTACTTAATTGAAGTAAAATCGCCAAATGACGGCTTTATGAGAGAGTTGATTAAATAGCTACATCGTATCGTCGAATATTTTGACACTTACCATGGAGTCTTCCAATGCAGTTGCAGATTTTTTTTCACCATCATTCGGTAAATCTTGGGCAACAACTTTTCCTTTCGGGCGTTTCTTCCCTCCAGCACTTTTGTACTTCGACAACTGGTGAACATCGAAATCCGCGAACTTCACGGTCAACGCTCGACGTAAAGTCGACGGCAATGACCCGAAATTGATGGACTTGTCACCAAAAGCCTATTGACACACATAGAAAAAAAACTATTAGACAAGAATAAAAAATTAGCAATGTTCTTTTTAATCACTTGATACATCTCCGCCACGTCAATCCAATCAGCCGGTGTAACGACGCAGAGTTTGAAATACCGCTTCGTGAATTCCCGACAGCGAGAGTCATACGAGGCGTAGGCCAACAGAAAATTGGCAGTTGTTCGAATATACAAATCCTGCCTCGCATGAAGGGCTGCCTGAAAAGTGCGAAAAAGGAAAAAAAAAATTAAGCTACAGTATTTTATTAGGGCAACAATAAGAAACGCTTGAAACCCCGTTCTACTAAAATTTTGTCCGGGTTCCCCACAGACATTTTTGGAGGACATTTAATGCCTCGAATTCTTTCTTTCACGGACATCAAGAAATTTTTCCAATGAACATCAAGTGCTGTCTTAGTACTTCACAGGTCGAAAAATCTATCACCCTCGGAAGTGACCTAAATTACAAATTTTCGAAGGTACAGTATCATTGGGAAATTTTTTCCCGAAATGGTGGGATGGCGTAATCTTTTCCTTTTCAAAACCCACCTTTTTCCGGGAGAAGAGATAAAAATCAGAAAAATTAAAGAAAATAAAATGCTTCGAACAGGATACATGAAATAGAAAATTAATTATGAACATCTTACCACAGTATAATTGTATCGTAGAGCATATCGTAGGGTATTTTGAATGAACTGATCTCCACGAAGTAATGTTATAATTTTCTGACAACAAGAATTTCAAACTACTATGTCAAATTTTATCTGCTGCTTTTTTGACGCAAGTTCAAAGTAATTTCACATCAAGCAAATTTTTGTGTGAATATACCAATGTTTTTCTACCGTGCATATCGCATACAGTAAATATATATCATCGCGACTTCAACCCGTCTTTCGATATTTTTCGAAATACACGAATAATTTGGCAACGGTGAATGAAAAAAAAACTTGGAAGATTTTTTTGAGAGAAGAACAAACGATAAAAAATTGTTTCCAACCTTCAAGATGAATTCCGGATCAATCTCAGCAACTTTCTCGGCCAGAGAGACAAGTAACGATCTAAACTCGTCCGATTTGGATTTAAAATCCGGTGAATGGATCAAGGAACCCGTGACAGCATTCAGAAACTGGCTCTGCAAGGATTAAATTCATCAACATGACATGTTATCCAATAGAGACGGAAGATTCCTCAAGAACTCCTGAAGTCAGCAAAAAAATTTCATTCTCAGAAGAAAAAACAGGTGTAGCATTTTAAGGATTTTGGCGTCATAACAAATAAAATACAGTACATTCCACGAAATTCGTTGCTTTCTAGAATCTAGAACTTCACTTCAATACCTGTCCCAGAGTTCACAGCTATCTTCTATACAGCCACTATTTTTTTTTGTCATCCTTCACCAAGAAAAAAAATTTTTTTAATAAAACCCTCAACCAGCTTAAATTTGAAGATGTATGGAGCTTTGAACCTGATCAGTCTTCTAATAAATCTAATTTTATCTTACTTCAGCGACTCGCAGAACACCCAAAAATTATGGAAATAAGACCCCAAGATGCCGACATAATTGGTGCATCAAGAGTGCCCCTAAGTTGAGTCTCATTTTCCTTATACTTACATTATATACTTTTTAATTGGTGTTTTATGAACAAAATATCCATCATAATTCCATGAAAAAATGTTCTCCCAATAAAAACTGATTCTATCACTACATTTCAACTCAATAAGGACATTTGGAGCATTGGATACGGATACCTATGTACAGTACATTGAAATGTTGGTATTCTCTGTAAAAAAAAAATTTCAAATGATGAAGAGAGAAGGAAGTCCCTATATGCTGGGGGTAATTTTTTAAAATTAGCTATATGAATGGTGATTTGATGAGAGAAATGCCAAAGAACTTTTCTCACATCAATTTATGGGTTGGAAATACATATGAACTGTATTTGTCTATTTTATTTTGGCCTGAAACTTATTTGAAATGTTATCACACAATGTCAATATGTTGAGTCAGTGGATCACCAGCTTCCTTTCTGGGAGAAAATCCTCCGTGCGCCACGAAACCTAAAAACTCCGTAGTTTCTCGTGTTTACTTGTAGAGATATAATAAATCATTTTCTAAAATATTATATCAAAATTACGCAAGTGATTCACAAGATTTTCAAGAAATCCCCAACGCTTCCGCGCTAATTCCTACCTTGACCAATCGTTCGTGCCTCTTCTCTTCGCCGACATCTTGTGCCGTTTCACCAAAGAGATCCTCAGGAAAATCTTCCGGACTTTCCGGAACATTCACGTTAATCTCGTACCTCGGACATTTAACGCCTTCCGTGTCGCGTTCAACACGCACAGGGAGAAGAGGACGTTTCAGAGAAACCTCAGTCGGCTTAGAACGCTCCTCATAAAGCGTCTCGGTGTGCAATTTTAAATTTGAAAGCTTCCCTCCACCACTGAAAAAGCTTGACGTATTTTCCGTCAATGGCTGGCTCCGGAAAATATCCGGATTCTCATTAAATAATCCCTCCGTCAACGGCTTCACTTCCGCGTCAACGCTAGAGAAGAGCTTTGAGGTGCGAAGCAATTTATTGTCCAGCAAGGAGCTTGAAAAGAGTGATTGATTTTGGATAGATGAACTAGGACCAGTGCCTAAGATCCAGTTGGTCGTGTCCAACAGGTTCGGAGTGAAGGATGAACTCGGGGTTTCTTTGGTTTCAGGAATCACATCACAGCGCGTGTCATTGGCTTGAGAAAGTAGTTTGTTGGAGCACCAAGCATCCATTCGAGGGTTCAAATCGCCGGACAAAAATAACGACATTCTAGCAAGAATTACCAGCGCAAAACTTCATAAATCCACATTCTGGAAGAAGAAAACAGATGGGAGATAAAGTTTTGCACAGACTCACCAGTATTCAGTTTCTTGCGCACCAAGAAACTGCATAACGGCACTCAAATGCAGTATCTCGCAAAATAAATCCTCAACAGAGACATAAACCTCTGCTGTCTGACTGATGTCAATCCTGTACTTACAGGCACTCGACGTTCAACTCCGCAAAGATTACGAGATATGGCTTAAAAATAGCCAGTATCTTAAAATTAGGTTCATTATGTTGTACTGTACAATCTAATCATGACGTCATAATGTTCCACAGTTTTCTAGAATGATTACAGTAACAAAACTTGACGAGTCTCTGTTCATCCGTTGAGGATTTCCCCCAATTTCATATCAATTGAAAAAGTATGCTAATTTCATATTCAGTACAATCAAAATATTTTGAAGAGATCGGAATTTTCAATTTAAAACACTATTGGGGAAAATAAATAAAAAAATTTAATCTTTGGTATAACTTTGACTGTATTCAAGTGGGGTAAGAAAACCACAGTTTCTCGGTGACCGGGAATATTTTCAATACTCAGGATGATTGAAAATTCAATTCTTGAACGAAGGAAATACTTGAGTGAACTACCCTCACGAAATGTGATCTACTCGATCAAAGAATCGGAGAGGAACGACATGCACATCAAACCCTCGCTCATCCTATCCCGAGAAAATAATGAAGAAACATTGCTTAATTTCCTCGATTCATTTCGGATTCCAAATTTCGCAACACAGGTTCAAGGTTTCCTTTTCAGCAAGGAAAACAGCAATTTCAACGATCCACTTGCACCTTCTTTCCGTCTTCAGAAACATACTGCCATCTTTTTTTTCCCTCGCAACACAAAACTTTCTTTTCCAACGAATAATTTAGCATGATGAAAGGAAAAAAAAGTTCAAATGAAAATCACATACCGCATATCACTTAAAAATAGTCTAGTATGAATTACTGGTGATGACTAACGAATATAAGAAGGAATGACAACGATATTCACCTTTTTAGGGACGCTTGAATCCACGTTACCGAAGTTTGATCAACAATTACGGCACAAGGAAACCACGGAAAGACACGAACAGACTTTAAAATGTTTTTTTCGCTCCATACGGGACATTGATTCGAACAAAGGAAATTCTTCAAGCTTTTTCCAACGTCTCCTGTATGTGCAACCATGTTTTCAGCCCCTGCAGAAAATCGAAGGAGAAATCACAACAATTAGAAAATTTTCCAAAAATAACCAACAAAAACCAAATAAAAGAAAGAATACGACAGGAAAATGAGATGTTTACGAGGAATGAACTCAGAATGAAAAGGTATCCTTCACTCAAGTTTCACGTTTAGCTGAAGTAAATCAAACTCGTGTACCGACTTCTTTTCGATTCAAGAAAAATCTAGTAGATTAAAAAATTAATCTAAAAAACCACGTTTTCAAAAAGCAAAAAATAACCTTAAACNCAGTTTCTAAGCTATCCTGAAAGTTTCAGCTTGCTAGCTAGTCAGGAAGTGAGTGAAATTTGAGTTTCAAAATTTGATCCGGACAAACAGACAGACAGACAGACAAGAAAGTTAGTTCATAAAAACGTGGTAATAAAAAAATCTAAGCGTGGATCCATCCATTTTACTGGCTTTTTTAACGCTAGCTTTTACTTGGTCACGATGGATTAACAATACTGTACAGGTAGTGCTTAATTTCAACTCAATCTGACATCTACATTAACAAGATTACATCAAGTACAGCACTTTTTCAATCTTCGAAATACGTTAGAAATAAACGTCAAGAAGTCGCAAAAATGTGAAGCGGAATTGAAAAAAAAATTAAGTACACGGAGTTTGTGGAAGCGAAGTACCTTTTTGGCTATGTCGAGTTGTACTTTCGCATACTGAATAAGCGCGGCATTCAGATCCTTGTCCTTCTGAAGTTTGAAAGCCGCCAATTCCTCAGCTGAGATTTCCTCAAATTTTTTCAGATTTTCCACGGCGAACTCTTTCCGAGTCGTCGCTTCTTCAATGTCTTGATCCAGCTGCTGTAACCGCGACTCTTTCTCTTCTTCCGTGTAACCAGTTCCGAGTAAGAATCGAGACAGAAAGCTGTTGGGGTTCTTCCCTGTTTTCAAGCAAGACATAAGTTACTTCGGTACTCAGAAATGATTCATTAAACGTTTTTTCGGCACTTACCCGAAGCAACGGCTTCTCTGTCACGATTTTTGCTCAGTCTGCACTCCTCAGACCGCTCTACTTCAAAGCGCGCAACGTCATGTTTGTCACACATAGACTTCAAAGAATCCGCGTAAAAATAATATTCTTTTATGAGATCACAGACGCTCTCTTCTTCCTCCAAACAAGATTCAATCCAGGATGCGTAGTTGTCCATGTGATGGCCCATCGTCTGTAAGGGAATCAATCGGAATTCAAAACCGGCGAACCGTAAATGGGGTGACTAGGAGAAACTAGGACAACAATTAAATTTTTATATTTTCAATTATGCAATTTTATGCTGCTAGGTTAATTCAACCCTAAAAACACTCAAACCACGGCATCATCGAGAATAAAAAAGACCAGGATGAAAAGATTAGCATTTCCATTCATAGATACGTAATTTGCAATGTTTTCCGTCGCAGCCGTTAAGATAGTTTCTCTTGATACTGTTTTATTTTTAATGCGCTGTTTGGGATTCACTCAACTGGCATATTACCAAATTTTAGGGCTCGAAAAATATGCAGGTGAAAAGGATAAAATGCAAGAAAACATACCTGGAAAGAATCGCCCAATTGTTTTTCAATACCGCTCCACTCCGAGAAAACTCTCCCGTAATTCCCGTGCAACTTGTGGATTCCGAAAGTACGTTCCGCGAGCTTTGCTCTCTTATCCAGAATTGTTTCCAGATTGCTCTAAATTGTCAGAAAAAAGAAAAATATAGTCAACAAAACTTAATAAGGTCTTCTGGTCAATAGCTCACGCTCAAGTCACTGGCATAGTTTCGAAGTTCCTCAAACGGTTTGGAAGATCCGTGAACTCGTAGGGAAGCATTCAAGTTTCGAAATTTCGCATCAGCCTTTTCCCAAAGGTCCAGACCACTAGTATCCAAAGCATCATCTTGCAGGAATGCGAGGAATCCTGGATCGTTTGACAATTTCGCATGATTTCCGATCCTCAGAAGGAATCCCTGCAAAAACAAGGCCAGTACATTTTACTCGGGTAACAATATCTGTACAGCTTTTTATGCTTCGAAAAAAATTGGCTGTTCATGGATTCCGACCCAACGCCCCATGCCTCCGTTTTCTTATTTCATTTGGTGTGTGTCGCCTGAATACAGTCATGAAGTGTGATTTTCGTATATTCGGTTAGTTCAACGAAGAGGGAAGTACATATTCAAAGGTATCCCGGATAATGGACGCCTCGCATAAGGGACTCGGGCTGCCAACGATTCTCGCTGACTGCATGAAACAGGGCTTGCCTTTAAAATATAATTTTTGTGGGAAGTGTGGCTTCCACACTAACACTTTCAATTGAATAAATAGTCTTTTCGGTATACATTAACCTGTTGAGCATTGCTTGCCTGGTTTCTGGGTGATTTTATTCGTTTTTTACGCTAAAAACCTGCTTATATGGTAATCTAATACTGTACCTTATAGTAAAATCGTATTAGAACAAACCTCTGAAAATACCAAAAAACAAGAATCTGAAAATTGGGATTTATAAATTGACACGATGTTCAGGGTCATTATTTTGAAAATCTCATCATAAAATAGTATCAATCATCACAATTTTCTCCGGAAGTTCCCCAACTTACTCGTATACAGATTTTACTGTGCAGTCTATCAGCAAACATTTCGAAGATATCTGTAAGGAATTCGTCATGCTACACGAATTACTCCGTTGAGGAACTGTTTAATAGGCCTGGAACCGATCAACCGTCCTGAAGAGCTTCGCATTTGCTACTAAACAGTTCTTCCGATTTTTCAGATAATCGACTGCCAATTAAAACGGATCAAGTTCAATCTCCGAAGTAACACTATCCGGTTCCGGTGACGCCTACATGGCATTCCAGAAAACAAAGTGATATCAGCCAAAATAGGGATATCGTACCTCCAAGGCAAGACGCCTTCGCTCCACGAACCCGGCATCGAAATTATCTCCAGGCGTCATTGTCCATGGAAACGTAGCTCGTTTTTCCGGCAGCGGGGGCATCAAGATTTCCGGATGTCGCGATTCTAGATAAAATCGAAGCCATTCAAACTCTCTGTAGCGGCGCCAAACGGATGAAAACTGCGCCATCTGCCGCACTTGACACGTAGCATCAGCAACAGGGGAAAATCCATCCTTGATTTTCCTGCAAGATAGAGAGAATAAGCAATATACTCAACTGTGATGATAGAGCTCATTTATATAACTTTCCTTCTTAAGGAAATTACCCACAATAATTAAAAATAATTTGAACAAAGTTATCTTTGGTAACCTATCCAAGATCACATATTTTCTTACAATAGAGCCTTCATAAAAATACACAAAAGATCAGATAACAAAGAATTTACCGTACAAGGTCCTTATAAAGGGACGGCAGCCACAACAATTTGTTCGTGAATTGATGAGGTCCATTGGATTTTCAAGGTTAAGCATTAATAAAAACGTATCTTGCCATCAAAAAAGACAATGTCGAAACGCAGATGCACACATCAGGAGAGAAAGAACACTTCAGAATTTTCGAAATTGATGAACGATCAGTCAATTGTGTAGAGAATAACTAGATTCAAGTTTAAAAAAAAAAAATAATAATTCTCACGGAACTCAACAGTTCCCTGCGTCGAAGAAAACACAGCTCAAATGATTTCGTACTATCCCCTCAATCTAAAAATTATAAAAAAATTCTTTTCGCAATTTCTCGCTAATATCGATTTAAACTATCATCCATAAACGTAGAACTGAACTCCATTTGAAATACAGAATATTAACATCAAAGATCTTGCGGAACATGAAAGCTATTCAAGAAATTATTTGTTGCACAGGTAGATGTGCTCTCTTGACATCAATTTTCTCTGCATACATTTAAAAAAAAAACATCTTTCCTTACCAAAAAAAGGGCAGATGGTTCTCTCACCACAATGAATTTTTTCCTGGTTCTTTAAATTTTGTCGTACGACACAATTAAATTTACACAACTCTACACAATTACATTTTGTCGTACGAGAGAGGCGTGCTCGAAAAAAAAAATGCAAGAATATCTCACTTGGTTTCAATCAGGAACACCATGTAATAGTCCTTCAAGCTGAGCGACTCCGTCATGCGTCTTTCCGTGTCCACGATATTCACCGAAGCGAATTCCAGAAGCGGCGGCTTGTGCCCAACAACCGGAGATATGGAAACATTTTCCAATGCGGCTTCGGCAGCATCTTCACATTTTTCCGCATCCACTTCAACACTTTCATTCATCATTTTGACGACGAAAAGAAGATTCAATTCAACCCTAAAATAAAAATAGACAAACAAATTTTGAGAATATGCATACAAATAAATCGGAACAGACATAAAGAAAAAAATCAGACACAACTCGAGAGAAAAAACGGGGCCCGCGAAAAAGAACACAAATCCGTTTTATGCCAATTGTCTGCGAATCAAGTACGCCCAAAATCACAGGCTATGCACACTTCGAATTCAATTTCCTCTTCATCAAATTCAAATTCACAAAAACATACATTAAAAAAACTCTTCCGTTCAAAAAAACCACCACGTCACAGAAAATCTTCCATACAGCGAAAAAAAACGAAAAATAACGTTGCTTCCCACAAAAAATCCCGGGTTACGAAAAAACCTAATCAGACGAAAATCTTCTTATCACTTTAACGAATCAAAAAACAAGCCATCACTTGCACCAACAAATTCTTTTACACGTCAACCAGCGTCATGTCCGCCCCATCACAAAACGGTCATACCAAACGCAGAGACGGCGACTGGTCAAAATACACTAGGGATTCTCTATTTTACGAAAACAAAAAGGAATCTGCACCCACGCCAAAAAATTTAGCAAACACTGTCATTCTTGTTGGCGATCCGATATTCAGCACACAAAAAAGTCGATCCAGTTTTTGCTTCTGCTTTCAACACGAACTAGAAAATACTGACGCAAAGCCGATTTTAAATTTCCTTCCGGTGCCTTTTCATGGAGCTGGCGACTAGATTTGCTTGAAAAGAAAATCGAATTGTGGCTACTCGGGGTGAAACGGAAGCGGGGTATTTTTTTCAATAAGACGCGAGGACTCAGCTAGACGAGGATTGGTTCACGGCAAGGACGAAGCCCTGTTGCTGTAGCAACAACAGGCGTTTCTCCACGCTGCGCTTGTAATGATTCAGGAGTTCTCTGTCGCGGGGGTGCTTAGCAGTCTGCGCCAAACAATGAAGCAGGATCTGCGCGGTTTGATACTTCAAGCAGCTTTTGTGGCTCACGCCCACCAGCTCGTCCAACGCCGCCGCTTGACACTGACAAAACAAGGCAACGTCTGATGAACAGTTCATCCTCGATAACTCGAGCCTCCCACAGTCGAATACCTCCAAATGTCTTTTTTTTTCAAGTCACTCTTTGAATTCCCACAAAAATAACGCGTTTTAAGCCTCCCCTACTCGACTTTTTTGCTGGTCCTTTGAAGTTCGACTTGAATACGGTCGACTGAATTTCAAGCACTTCCGGGCATTCTAGAAAATCTAGACCATACTCAGTCAAATAAAAGACGCTTCTCGTAATTGTTATGTCTCAAAAAATTAAAATGAAAAATTTCAGGGACGTAAGACGTCCTTTCATCAAGTTTAATTTTTTCAGAACAGACGAGTCTGTTATTTGCTTCAATTTCTATCTTAACCTCATGAAACGCTACGTAAAAAAAATCGGTATTATTGCACCTCGGAATTCAAAGTGGTAGAATGCACTTGTTCGTTGCTTTTTTTAATCCGATTTCCATCGTTAAAATCGACTAAGCCAAAATAAATCGCAGTGCATCATGATCATGTGCAATTCATGAGACGTCATCGAGTATTTTACAGTACAGTGTAAGATACACCGTGATTTTTTTTTTTTTGTAGAAGGGGAGTCCGTCCTATACTCGAATAAATTCGAGATTAACATACGCCGTAGGACAGTGACAGACCGCTCACCAAGATTTCTGAATAGTAAACCCTCGTCGAAACAAATTACGATTTTTACTCGTTTACGAAACGCGTCCAGTTTTTCTAGCCGACTTCCGGAGAAAAAAATCACGCTACCAAGGTTAGCGAAAATCTCAGTTACAATCTGAGATGATTCTGGAAATATTCTCCATCCAAATGAAAATTTACAGAATGATTTCTTCCACCACCCCGACAACGGTATCCAGTCATGATAATCGGAGTTCTACCGCAAAGGCAGTAGAGTCATTCAGTGCGACTCACCATTTGAATGGCGTGCTGGTATAGTAGCTTGTCAGCGGAAATGAGGCCCAAGCACTGATGAAGCTCGTCACGGGAATGCGGCCCGGCGTCGTACACTTTGTGCACTTTCGCCAGACACGACTGGAATCGCATATGAAGATCCGACACGACTTGACGCACTGCCGACGACGACTGCAGCCGCCTCGCCGTCATCTCGTCACGCGCCAAGTGAAGAGCAGCCGCCAGCAACCGACACGCCTTCAGCAGCAACGCCAGACGCTGGGCCGTCTGCTCCAATTCCGACACCGGACGCTCCTCCAGGAATTCTTCGTCACGGCGGCGTCCCGAGCCGCCTCGAGCTCCTTCTACGCATCCTCCAGATCCTGGATAGATGAATTGTTACATACAGTATCGAACATACACACAAAAAAGTTTTAATATAAAAAAAAATCATAAGAATTATGAGTCATCATAAGTTACGCCTGAAGAATCCGTTCTCACCAAGTCCACAATTTTCAAGCTTACGCTTGTTTTTGTAAAATTTTTTAAAGGAAACTTTCGGTAATCCTCATTTGATCTGGTCTTGATTTTGCTCAGTTTAATGCGACCATAATAATTTACATTTAAATGTACTATCCTAGCGCTCTCATTTTCCAGAAACTTGAAATTTTCGACTCTGTTCAGGTTTTCCCCAGAGAGGAAAAAGTGTGTCACACAAACCGTGCTCGTCTCTTTCAGTCTATGACTCATGCGTCGTACAGAGCTAAAACGTGACCATTTCTTGATTGAAGAAAACTCAAATTTCAAAAGAAATGAAAAATAGAAGCGCTGGATCGTTTCGTGGGCTGCGAACTGGGAAATTTCCTGACACGGGCGCATATTAGCGAAAATTTCAAAAATATGAAAAGGCAGAAGAGTAAATGCATCCCTCAGTTTTCGAGCTTTTGAAATAAAAATGAAAATAAAAAATGGGTGCTCATATTCGCGTAAATACGGTCATTGAGGCAGTTTATGGGTCTGAAGCTCCCAGCCAAAGTCTCACCTTCGTTATCTTCGTCCGCACCGCCAGATGCGGCGCCCTCAATCACGTTCTTCTCTTCCCTAACAGTCTCCAGCTTCTCGTGCATCCCGAAGTCTCCTTCAGTCGGCGACAACGGCGAGAGACGTCCAGGCTTGCCCCACGGCTTCGTCGGCGACTGCTGACCACCTCCTCCGGCAGCATGCAACACACTATTGGTCATCAGAGCAGCCGGTGCCTTTGTTTCTTCCCCCAGTTCAATAACGCAATCTGCCAGCGCGAGAACGAGTTGCAGTCTGGCCAGAGTCTCGTTATGCTCGCGCTCCAGCAAAGTATCCTCGGGTAACTCCGGCGCAGAGAACATGACGCCTCGGAAGTCAGGTGGGGAGCACATGTCCCCGGCAGACATGTGACGCGTGGGTGAATAACCGCTGTCTGGAGAGGCAGTGATCACGCCGCAACTGCGGCGACGACACGGCACCGAGCCCAGCACGATCCTACCCCCGGCATCACCAGGGAACATGAGTTCTGAATATGGTAGGAAGAAAACGTGATCACTCTCTTGTCGGATTCTTTCACGTCTGAAAATTGTACTGCGATAGAAAAGGTTCCTACATAAAAATGAAGGACGAGATTTATTCTGAATCTAAAGCTAAGAATGCTGCGTAAGCATACTGAAGAATAAATCATTTACAGTACACTTTCCCAACTCTTACAAGATATTTGTTCAAAAGATTAGTTTGCTTCATAAATTTGGCTAAGATCACAAATCCGTTCTTCTAAGGTTACTGTACTTCATTTTGTGGCGAAATTAGATTAAAATAGCTTAAGTTCAATTCTAATCAACCGGGACACCCGCCTCAAACGGCAGATGGCAAAAAGCATAGATGCAAGATAGACTAACACAATTCAGACCTGCATGCAAAATTTTTCTCCCGTTCGATGAACCAGAATTTTCTGAAACTTTCAAGAAAAAATCCAGCACGATAAAGCCTCGAAATTCCGACAATAATTTCGATAAATAAGTCGTTTCGGACCACGATGTACCCCACAACAGTACAGTACTACATACAGTTTAGCTTACATAAGATTACAAGTTAATGATGCCAGTCACGGAAGTAACTTGCAGACGAACCTTGCGAAATGTAATCCGTCTGATAAGCACCCAAATAATTACGCCCTTGGTTGAAATCTGGCAAAGTCTGGGCACGATGTGGCGAATGATCTCCGGATGGATGTCCCGCAAAAAATCCGCGCATCTGGTTACTACCACGAAGAAGCTCAGGCCAATTTGGCGGCGATACTGGAAAATAATTTCATTTTATACACTGGAGGAATATACGTACACAATCGGAATCTCGCTACAACGATTTTTTTTCTTTTCGTCCCACACGGATCTTTCCCACGTTGTAGTGGTTTTCTACGAACAATTTTATCCGGTCTCTTGAATTTCGTTGCATGGAGTCTACCTGTACATTTTAATAAAAAACTTGTACAGTGCCGTACAACGAATTTACGCACAGTGAACTCGGCCTGCCATCGATTCTTGTAGCTGATTGTGGACTGTACTTCGGATTTGAAAATTCACGAAAAACGATTTCCACGGTTAACAGAAGTTCCTCTGGGCTGCCAGCATCAATGATGAAATGAATGGAAGCATTTTTCATGAAACGGGTAAGCAGTGCTTTCATCGTTTACGGGGTTTCGAAATGATTTTTTCTCCGTCGACTATATTTTCATTCAGTAATTTTCATACGATGAATATCTGGGCGACATTTCCACACAATTTGGAAAGGTTTGATAAATAAAATGGCTTCAACCCTTCACATCACGCAATTGACCAATTTTCAGAGAACTGCAACCCATCAGCTACTCGACGCATCTACGGCATTGCAACACTCTTTAATTGATTTTAGGATCATGCGCTTTCCGATAAAACTGATCAAGTTCATTAACCGAGACACCACTGGTCAGTACTGAACTTCCTCTGATACGATCAAATGACATGGGAAAATATGGTCGCTCACCCCCAGAGCGACGCAGAGGCGACGTGGGACTTGTCGGAACGATAGCACGACCGCCACAAGCCCCAGAAGCGAGGAATGTGCCTTGAGGCGGAGATGTTCCAAACATACGATTCAGTGACGAATTTGAACCATAAATCCCAGCACTGCTGGTTCTCCCTTTGGGAGGGGTGCCGACAGTAAATTGCACCGACGGTGGCGACAACGATGCAACGTCTTCATACAGATCCGTGCTTGCCACTCGTCTCATGGCAATGGGAGATGTTTTCGATTCTCCAACCTACGATTAAAACAGCTTATACAATGAATAAAACAAACAGCTTCACAAAAACTGGCGAACAGATATCTGCACTCTTCGCCTTTGAAACTATCACGCAGTGCTTCTGCCTCTTATTCAACCACAACTCTGGACAATAAAATTAGGTCTGTTTGGTTCAGTTATCATCGGCATCCGCAATAAATAAGACTTCGTTCATACTTCAAGTTGTTCATCAACTCATTATTTATCATACGGATTGTCCTGCATTACTCAAAATTAGGTTCAGCTGTACAGGTACAGTAATAGATTCCGTTCTTCGTGACTTTGTTATTACTGTACATAGAATTCGCTATGGCTTTGACGAGGCTAGTTTCGATGTGACTAATTATGGATTCGGAAAAAGTTCAAGATAGTTGTGCATAAAACTTGGTTTGGTTTAAGATTACGATTTTTATATTGACACCGTTGAAGCGACGAAGCATTGAATACAGTACTGTACAGTAAATTGGAAAATATTGTACTTCGAAAAGCTTTTTATCGTTTTCCTGACTTCAATCAATTAATATATTATCAAAAATCCAAGCAAAACACCGAATAAAAAATAAGACATCTTTCAATTTCTTTCAAGTTCGTCTCATATTACGTGGGAACAAAGAAGACAACGAAATACATTAAAAAGATTTCATAAGAATAGTTCAACAAAACAAGGAGAACAGCAAAAATAGAACGTTATCTTTTTCTGGACACAAAAGAATATTCTCTGATAAGCATGATCATCGAGAAACAAGAGACTGATCTGAGTTTGTCGACGTTTCTTACCTTCGAAAATATTGGCGGTGACGGTGAACTGATAGATCTACCGCGTACAGATGTTTTCTGAGGTGATGGCAACGACCCAACCGTTGCTTTCGGTTTCGGACTGCCGCAATGGCTCATGCTGCTTTCGCTGTTCTGCAGACTCGACTGAATTTGCTCATACGCAGCTTTTTGCGACGGAACAGGAATCGGCTCCGAAGTTGGTCTCGAGGCCTTCGAAGACTTGTCAGACGGCGGGGATTCACTCGTCACTCTTCGCCTGACTGACCCGGCGGTTGTAGATGGTAAGTTGTCCGGCACTATCACGAAATCGTCCACCACTTCTTCTTCGAGTCCGCGAGGCGGTGATGCGTCTCGTAAGTCGACATTGCTTGGAGTTCCCGAAGGATTGCAAAAGGGCGGTTGGACGTTTTTCTCAAAAAGCCAAGGAGACGAAATTTTGGCATCGTCGCACAGAAAACTGTGACGTAACAGCTCGTCGAAGTCCATGCGGTCTTTTGCGTCTCTTCGTAACATTCTCATAAGCAGATCTTTCAGTTCCGGAGATGTTTTAGGTGGAAGCCTGCCACGGATAAACAAAATCATGAGAAACTTTTACATGGAAAACAACGGCAACCGATCCAAAGAATAACTTAATTACTCACTTAGGCTTCAAGTTTGGACTTTTCTCGTAAAACTGCTTCAGGGCTGGAGGTGATGTGGCTTGAAAAGGCGCCTTTCCGACCAAACATTGGTAAATAATGGTACCAAGCGACCATAGGTCCGCTTTGCTATCATACGGAAGTGACATGATAACTTCAGGAGCCTGAAAATGAAGTGCGAATGAATTAATATTTCAAGATTTTAGTTTTCAACTTCCAAGCTAGGAATAGTAATGCATGTTAGTTCATTGGGAAATAACGGGAAAATTTTTCATTTTCCGTTAGTCTTAGCAATGCTTATCTGTCAAACCTTTTTTAAGGAAGTAAATTACTTACCATATACATCGGCGAACCACACAGTGTAGCAGCCATAACACCATCCTGAAGAAATCTTGCAAATCCGAAGTCAGCTAAAAAGGAGAGAAATCATTAAATAAGCCAGGCCGTGACGCAAAGTTAGAAAAAAAAAGGCTCGGAACACACCAATTTTCAACAATATTTTGTGTGGCGGTGGGTTTCTTTCGGGTTCACCTCCAGGAGTTGGACTTGGAGCAGACAAAAGGATATTTTGTGGTTTGAGATCCCGATGCACAATGCCTTTTGCATTCAGGGCCTTCATAGCAAGGGCTGTAAGAAAATATACTGAGTGCATGCGAAGAATCGGTGTGGACTACCATGGATATCTTACCCAACTGGCGCAGAAAAAGTTTGATGACTTCCTCGCTTAAAGTACCGTTCACTGAAACATGAAAACCGAGAGCTTCAACATATGAACGACCATAATTCAGAAATAAAATCACACACATTGCAAGTAATCTCCGAGATCTCCTCCGTTGCAGTATTCCATAACAAGGTATACACATTGTGACGTTTCCTACGGCAAAAAGGACAAAAATTTCATCTGATCGCGACGGAACCGCTGAGCAAAATATGAAATTACCTTGTAGTCCAATAGGGCTACAATATTTTCATGCTTCACCGCTGTTAGGTGGCTGAGGATTCGGATTTCCTTCTCCAGTAAACTTTTTGACTTGGCGATGTTCTTCTTTTGAATGCATTTGATTGCCACGATATCATGTGGATTCTGAAAACATTGAAGCCTGAAGTGCAGATATTAACGAATTAAACTGGTATTCGACGGCAGTTCTTACATCCACATGTTTCCCTCTGAATACGACGGCAAATGCTCCATGGCCGATCATATCCCGGGAATTGTACTGGTAACAGCCGATGGTATCCAATTGGGCTTTGGCCATCGTGACCGGGACCCAATCCTCCGATGTATTCAAGCATTATACATTGGCACAAAGACACAGAAAGGATGCGAACCGATCAGAGCATTCTCCGTTATGCTGATGGAATATCCGCAGAGAACTTCCATCGTTTATTATGGAAAGAGTAACCGTCTAATACAAGAGACAGAAAATAACATCAAAATCCGAACAAAGTTTCACTGATCTCTCATCCCTCGAGCACAGATAAATACTGAACGTATCACGCACCAACCGCGTGGGTCAACAGCTGTGGCTCTTTCAGCTGAGATGCACAAGTCAGAGAAACACAAAGGAAGGCCTCCATGACAGGTAATCATGGATTCTAATGATCTCTTTGCTCAGCACTGTGAACAGATGCAAGAAATTTACTAAAGTATGACAAGGTAGAAGCCTAATTTTAGGCATAATGTATCTGATCCATAAAACTATGCATTTTGCCATTAAAAATGTTCTTCGTTTAAAATTTTTGAAACTATAAGTAACAGGTTTCCGTAGTCCGTCAGGCATCACATCAGCGTCCCCCCAACAGTATGCTTACACCTTGTTCGGTTCCCTGTTCATGCTGTCCCGCAGTTTCACGTGCAAATATTTATTTTTCGGAACCAATCAATGCATCAATTACTCACCGAAAGTAAACGATTGTCGCTTGCCTGGAATGTTCCTATTCAATATCTTCCTTGTTTCGGATACAACGCAATATTCAATCTAAATATTCAGAAAATATGCGGTCCTCTTCTCGCAGGAGGAACTATAACGTGCGTGCACACTCCCCTTAATCGCGATAACGAATGAGTCAACAAGCCACAGAAGTTAGGGCGCTATTACATCAGGACTAAGACATATCATTCCTTCAAGTTCCTGTGAAATTCTCCTTGTTCCCAACGCGGATTCCGATTTGGTTAGACTTTTCACTTAGGTTCAAGGTTTTCCCTTCAGGTGATCTGCGGAAAAGTGTGAAATTTTTCTGATCGGGATGTCCTCAGCCATGGAAAGTATCCTTTTCACGTTGTGCGTTGTCAGTAATCTTGTAAGAAAATCCTAAGTTTTGAAACTAAATTTGAAACAGTTTTTCCGCATTAGTCCTTAACAATGATCTGTTCAGACCACTTATTCAATCTCAAGTTTGCCGCGAAGGAGCTACAACGGCAGTCCAAGAAATCAGAGAAGGAAGAGAAGGCCGAAAAGCTGAAACTGAAGAAAGCTATTGAGAAGAATAACATGGATGTTGCCCGCATCCATGCCGAAAACGCAATCAGACAGAAGAACCAGAGCCTGAACTATCTTCGGATGTCAGCACGAGTTGATGCCGTTGCCTGTCGTGTTCAGTCTGCCTTGACCACTCAAAGGGTTAGTAAAAGTTCACGTATTCACAGGCTAAGTTATTTTGGCTCTAGAAGCGCGAGCTGTGATGGTGCGTCTGATATCAGGGAAAATTACGACCCAAGGTTGAAACTACGGATCTGTAAATCATATGCCGTGATGGATGGAACCTTATTTCGTGACGATAAAAAACCCACTTCCTGAATTTATGCTCGAATTCTGAGGTATAGGGTCCTGTATCCGGAGTTAGGGCTACCCTGCAGCAATTCGTCTTTTTCTTGCGTGAATATATTGTAACTATAAAATTGTCAAGTGTAGAGAACTTTATTCGAGCCAAGTGTTTGACCGTGATGATGCGAATGTCGTACACTGTAGGTGACGAAGTCGATGGCCGGTGTTGTCAAGGCTATGGATTCAGCAATGAAAGCCATGAATTTGGAGAAGATTTCCGGGTTGATGGACAAGTTTGAAAAGGAATTCGAAGATTTGGACGTTCAGACCTCCTACATGGACCAGGCGATGTCACAAACCACTACGACCGCAGTTCCACAAAATGACGTTGACACGTTGATGCAACAAGCCGCTGAAGAGGCTGGGTTAGAGAAATTAATTTCTTCCCGTCTTATGATAAATCTTTCTTACTTGATTTCTCATGAATTTTCCGCAGTTTGGAGCTCACTATGGGACTTCCCTCCGCCGGTTCTGTAGGAGTTTCCACCCAAGCATCAGTCGAACAAGACGAACTGTCGCAACGTCTCGCGAAGCTGCGTGAAGTGTGATCATGTTGAAGACGTCGATTCAAACTTACGCTGAAAGTCATAACGAAGCAAAATCGGTTTCGCTCCATCCATTACCAAAACCGTCACTTCCCTGAATTGCAGATGGTTTTTTTTTTTCATGATCACCGGCATTTCATTATAAAGGACTGTTTGTATCCGCTTGTCTATCTCAATTCAACGTTCATAATTGTGCATAGAGAAATGTAGGATAGCGCCAAATCATTCGTACTGGTGATGAAACGCACCGGTTCCAATGCTGGGAAAGCTCAGAAATGTCTTGTGCGAAATACTTTAGTTGTCACGACGCACGGTCATCAACCATGTTCTTGCCTTGTAGGCTTATTTGTTCTTCTTACCGCACGTTATTGTGATTGAACTCATCTCGGAAAAGTGGAATGGTATTTTTTATTCTGCAAACTTGGTTGCGAAATCCGAAAAACACTGTGGCAGATCCGTGTTTCTGTTTCGTCGTCAGCTGCCATTCGAACAATTCGTCAAGTTCGGCTAGGGGTGGCGTTCAGAATTGATTTGTCACTTCTTAAAAGTTATACAGTGATTTAGGAGCCATCTTTAATATTTCTCATTGGATTACTGTTTCGAATCTGCGATTCAGAAGATGGGTATGGGGTAATGGAAGTCTTTTCTCCCAAGTCCCTGCATCTTCGTGAAGATGAGCGATGAAACCAAAGCAATTTCGATTGGCATTCTGCAGCTGCACCAAAATTGAAGAGTTTGCAGCGGTCTGGTCTGCCGCAAACTGCCAACTCTCCGATGTGAAGAATATATCATGTTCGTTTGTAAAGAAAAAATAAACGGACTCGGCCTCATCCTGAACACACCAAGCAGCAGCTCACAGGATTTTACAGTATTGAAGCATTCAATCCCATCAAAGAATGTATGACCCAAACTATACGAACCAAGAATTGGAACACACTGTGTAAAGTTTGTCTGGCGACACAGGTTTGTACTGACAAAATTCAGGAAGTTGATACATCTCAGAGCAATGTGTTACCCTAGACTGCTAACTAGAGAGTCCCAGGTAATGGGAATACAGCCCAATTAAATCGGGCAGCCGCTGATGTATATTGGATGATGAAGTACTAAGCTTTGGATATTAGGCTGCATGAAAATTGATGAAGTTGAACGGTACAACAAAGTCTGAGCACCATACAAAATAATTTCTGGATATCGGTACAGGGACAAATGTAGAAAATTGTAGAGAGCAAATCTTTAGTCTATTGAACAAATTGAAGTCACTGATCCAGTGATTTGCTGATGGTTTAAATTAAACATACTCAGTGGGTCAATGCATAAAAAATTAATTGATAACAGGATGTGTTATGTTTTACAGCACAAGATTTTGCTCAAAATACTGTATATTTGTAAAGATACTGACTAAAAAGATATCTGATGGACCACACAATTCTGTGAGTAATTGTAAGTTACAGTTGAACCTGCCTAAGTCAAACCTCCCGAAGTTGAATACTGTACCTACCTAAGTGCGTTTTTTAAAGTCCCCATCTGGATTCCTTAAGGATGAATGCATTAAAAATCTCCCTAACTTGAAGGCTTTTCCTCAAAAAACCTCCAGAGGTTCAATTTTTCAGGCCTTTGGGCTATTATTTTACTGAAACAGGAAAGAAAAAAGCAATAAAAATGGAATTAGATGTGCCTTGAAAGGATATGTTACAGACTAAATTGGGCAATAGAACCCCTGTCTCCAAGTTCAGCACTTGTCAACTCATTTTAGAAGCAATATTGAAGTTCCAGAATATCACCATGTACAATTTAGTGCAATTCTTCAATGTTTCCCATGATAAAAATGCTTGATCCCATGAGTCAAACATATGTATGAATCAAAACCTCTCAAGTCAATTTTTTCTGGTCCCTTGAAATTTGACTTGGATAGGTTCAACTGTACAGTATTATAGAAAGAAGTTTCAGTAATTCTATAAATTTTGAGCTCCAAACTTAATGAAATTCACACACTTTTGGGGCTGGGGAAGGAGAAAAATGTAAACCTTGTTTCTTGTTAAAATGGTTGCTGTGATGTGAAGGTGAGTTCAAATGTTTGAATTTGAAACCTGCTGAAATTCACGCATATTTTTTCTCAAAAATATGTGCATGAAACAGTCAAATTTTGCGTCACTTATTTCACCAACCAAACAAATATAATTTTGCTGTGGTACAGATTTTTCACTGTTAATCAGCAAGAGACTCAACATGGAAGCACAACATTTACAATTTTTTTACTGGACAAAACTGTATTTAATTCAAAACCAATGATGGTAATAAAATATTACAGAGTACAGTATTTAGTAATTCATTCACTGATTTATGGTTTCAGTACCCAAGGACCTAAAACGGATAATTAACGTGCAGCATCCACCCTCACACCAGTCGATCAAGAAAATAATTTGATGAACATTTCTGGATTTTAAATTTTGTGCTGTAAAATTACTGGAACAGACTGTGCAGCACTGTAGCGTGTTCTAGCAAAAATACGCTGGATAAACTGTATCGAATGTACGGAAACTTGCTGTTGGTCCAGCCTTTTTACTATGGGAGATGCTTCGGAATGCATCGCAAGACCCGTCATGGTCAACCCTCGTCATGATGGGAAGCAACCAAACAAAAAAAAAGGTTCTTTCTCTCCACTCAGCAGCAGCAGCTGATCGCCCGGGGCGCCTATATATAATGTACAAAGCTTCTCAGCTGAAATGTTACCCATGGTTCTACCATGGATTACCATGCATATGTACATCCTCTCAGTGGTGCAAGAGGAAACAGTCACGTTGGAGAGTCCGACTGGAGTGGACCAAAGCAGAATAAGCCAGGTAATTTTTCCGCGTTAATTGCCGTTCTTCCTCCTATTCTTCTATCCCAAATTTCCGCACGGATCGTGAATCAAAGTGAAACGTTTTCCGGGCGTGCTTTCGTTTTTATTATTTTTAAATTAACTGGAAAACTTCCGGGTGATTGAAGTGTGGAGAGAGATGAACTATAGCTGTCGGATCAAGAGATAACCTTGACCCCTGCACTGACCTTTCCTTTGTGTTAAAAATACTACAAGGAATATATGGAATATTGAGATATTTCACACTGCATTACTTATTGGAATCTCAGTATGAAACGCCTCTGGACTCTTATTTTTGTTTTGTGTGTTTTTTTATTTTTGTCCCTCCTTATATTTGCGAGATATATGATGCATGTGTGATATGTGTTATGTACAGTTAGTGATGAATAGGTGAACTACAACCAACTGCATATAAACAGTGAGACCCCCAGATGCGGACATAATTGGTGCATCAAGAGTGTCACCAAGTTGAATTGTCCATAAGTCAAGTCTTGTTTTCCCATAGACCTTTATTGTATTATTTTAATTAGTGCTTTATAAAAGAAATATTCTTTAGAATTCCATGAAAAAAAATTGTTTGCCACTCTAGAATTTGATTCAGTAAACATACTGTATTTTAAACTCAAAAAGAACATTTGGAGCATTATCTCTGTACTGTACATTGAAAGGTTGGCATCTACAAAAATAATATTCAAGTCACAAAGAGAGAAGGAAGTCCCTCTATGCAATAGATAGTTTTTTAAATAGGTGAATGGATGGGCAAATGATGGGAGAAATGACAAAGAATTTTTCTTGCATAAATCTTAGGGTTGGAAATATCTGTTTCTTGCAATCATGCCAAGAAGAAAATTTTTTGGAAAGTTATTGGCAATTTTATCATGCAATGTCCTCATAGTATGTTGAGTCAGTGTCCATATGTTGGGCCTTTCTAATGCCCTTTTTATTGAAAAATAAATGTCCCTATGTCAAATTGTTCTCATGTTGAGGTGTCTGCATGTGGGGGTCTCACTGTACAGTAGCTGTTGTCTATTTATGATATACAGTTCATTAAAAAAAATATTTATTTGACAATAAAAATCAGAAGTGTTGGAAAGATTTTTAATGAGACACATAATTTTTATGGGTATACACATTTATTTGTAACGTGCAAATTACAATAATAATACTGTACAATAGTCGGCAGAGTACTCTCGGCAGTTGAGCTTGAGCAATCTAGGGCAGTGTGTTGATGAATGTATAGATGTCACTGTCAGCAAAAATGAAATTAGTTGAAATTAGGATCATATACGGATTTCCATCTATAAGATTCTATACCATCAGCGACGGTTTATACATTCTATGAGTTTTAACACAAACGAATACCGATTTTGAAATTGTGAAAAGATAAAAGTCCACCTGTATAACAGCATGATCACCGACTTGTTCCTGTAGTGCTGTTCAAATGTTAATACATTTTTTTCTGGCATGTTGCATTAAATCATTCATTCCCACAGCAAATGCTCTTGCATGACCTTCACCGTATCAGACATGTATACGCAAAGACATTTACTTCACGCTCTCTTTTGTTTCACCTCTTTCTCAAGAGCATATTCTTTTATAAATTGATTCGTTGATTTCCAGAAATAGATTAAATAAAAATAACTCGATACATTTCCTTTGTAAATTCTTGAAAAAATCACTGGGTATCCGCATGTATACGAGGGGATACACGGTTCCGCGCGGAGCAGCTTATATAAAATTGCGGCAGTTCTGGCGGAGCTTCAAAATTTAACAACCGAACATTTCAAGGCCTGCTTTGATCCAACACATGGATCAAAAGGGGTCAGAAGTGTAAGCGAATTGCTGGTGATCAGGTTGAGAAGCTGGCCTCGCAGCTCCTGGCTGACCCACTGCATGATTTTTTTTTCTGGATGACTGGATTGCTCAGAATTAGTTTAACTTGAAATCATTTCATTTCAATGTCATTTTCACTTAAAATCAGTTTCAGCGATCCAGTCATCCAGAAAAAAAAGTGCATGCAGTAGGTCATTATAGGAGCTGCAAGAGGCCAGCACCCAGCAGCACATGAGCACCACAGGAGCCCTGCAGCATCCTATCTTGCCAATGTCCTTCTCCTTCTCACCCCCTCCTTCTGAAATTTATAGGAACATGTTCAGGTTCTCCAAGACTGCATGGATGATTTTTATGGTTGAATTAAGAGAGCATGGATTTTTATGGTTGAATTATTGAATCCTACATTTCATCCTTTCTTCATGCAAACAGCTCTTCAGAACAGCAGCTTAGTGGGAAAAGTTGCCTGACTGCATTTTTTTGTTGGGAAGTTTTCATTCAAATGGTTCTTATTGTGACCATTCTGTGGCACTTGGGACCATAAAAATACATACCATTTTAAAAAGAATTGAACAAGCTTTCATTTGGCACTTTTTTCAATGCCACAGGTCAATTTGCTTACTAAGATATTTCAAGTCAAAAATTGGTTCACTTTTTTTGCCCACTATATACAGTAACAAGGTCCTCATAATAGGCACCAATTACAGTTGAACCTCCCTAAGTTGAACCTCCCTAAGTTGAACCTCCCTAAGTTGAACCTCCCTAAGTTAAACCTCCCTAAGTTGAACCTCCCTAAGTTAAACCTCCCTAAGTTGAACCTCCCTAAGTTGAACCTCCCTAAGTTGAACCTCCCTAAGTTGAACCTCCCTAAGTTGAACCTCCCTAAGTTAAACCTCCCTAAGTAGAATTCCTCCCTAAGTCAACTTTTTTCAAGCCTTTGACTGATTCCCATCAAATCAATGCATTAAACCCCTCCCTAACTCAAAGTATTTGTTTCTAAAACCTTTTCAAATAAAATTTTCTGAGGCCTTTTAGTTATTATTTCCTTAAAAACAAAAGAGAAAATCATTAAAACAAATGATTTCATGCATCTTGAAAGGAATAAGTCAAAGATTAATAGAGCAAATGAACCCCTGTCTTCAAGTTTAAGAAGGTATAGAGACTCATTAATTTGAGCAATTTTATGCCCAGAATATCCTCATTTACAATTTCCCACACATTTTTCACTTCTCCTGGCAACTATAAAGTTTTTGTTTCCTTAACTGGAAATTTCCAGAAATCAAAACCTCCTCAAGTCAATTTTTTTCCTGGTCCCTATAGAAATTCGACTTACAGAGATTCAGCTGTACGTCCGCATCTCGGGGCCCCCCGGCACACTACTACTGTACACGATCAAGTTTCGCTTTTTTCGCAGGCTAAGCCCCGCAGCAGCAGCAGCAGGCCCGCCATGCGGTGTACCAATTCCCAAATCGAACTAGTCGCCGGCGACTACGTGTCGCATCAGTCGTCAGCGGACGCGTGCGACACTAATGCCCTCGGCACGTGGCGCCGCGTTGCCGCCTTCTGCGCCGCCCCCGTGTCGACCCGCGTCCGGCGTTGGCACGTCGGCGTGCTGACCGGCGCCGCGGGGCTGGCAACTGCGCTCGCCGCCGTGCTCGCGATGCGGCTCGTCGTCGTCGACACGCAACTCGACGACTACCGACGACTCATGGCCGTGTCTGGCAATCGTGCTACTGTCGTTGACGACGGCAGCACCGACGCTGTGACTGGTCATCATCATCATCATCACGACAATGACACCGTGACGTGGAACAACAACCTGCACTTGAAGAAGCAGTTCAATCCTTACTTGGACGACTACGATTTGGTGCCTGAAGGCGAGTTATTCTCTTACAGCAGTGTACTGTATATTACAGTTGAACCATGTTAAACCGCCCCCCGATTAACTACCACTCCTGCAGAAAGCTGCGAAATTTTTGAGGGATTTGATTAAATCAGCAGCCGTCTTAAACAGGGCAGCCAGCCCAGGAATGAAAGGATTTTATACTGCCCAGTCAATGGACCCTTTTTTTTTTCAAAGAGTGAACCCCTCCGTGGATAGATGCGCCAAATGTCCCAAGTTTGAAGGGATGGGAAAACCTGGTTTAACCGCCATCTGCCAACCGCCAATTTTTTTTGCCATACAAACAGGATCTTGGCACTGTTTTTTACCCCAATAAATGGCCAATTTTTGGCTCCTCTCTTCAAGCCTTTATATTTCTGGGTAATATTTTTTAAAATTATTTGTTTTCTCCATTTAAAGATGCAAAGAATGAGAGATTTATGTCCCAACAAAAAAAGAATGAAGAGTCATCTTCACCAAAAGTAGAATGGGGAGCGATAGAGGTTGAAACATTAAAAAAATATCAAATACACTCATTAATTCATTAAATACCCAAGTGGAGAAATTGGTGCACACTGGGGATATGTTTGTAATTCTACACAGTGACCCTGCTGTGCACCTGAAGTGTACCAAAGTTATTCTGTTGCATATGCATATCCCTAATGTGCACCAATTGTGTGTTCACACAAGGATTACTCAGGGTCACATTTGTAAACAAATAAGTTACACCAAGATTACAGTTGGTGCATTTGTGTGATACTCCTGTTCTATCATATTTGTGCATCAAGTGTAGCCCTGGAATGATAGCAAAATTTCCTCTACACCAGTGCATACTTGTAACCCCAGAATATCCCATATGCACCAGTTGTGACCATGGTGTGCACCTACTGTGGGGTCACAGCAAAAATAGCTCCCCACTCGGGTACTGTGGCAACCCCTCCCTTGTTAAACCGCCAACCCTGTTAAACCACCAAAATTCTGCTGCACATACATTCGCAGTTTAATGGGGTTTGACTGTATTTGTTTTCTGATGGTTCATGCTGCATCATTGCTGTGTATATACAATGGAACCTTTTCAAATCAAATTCAGAACAAGATGATACGTATAGGTATAGTTCTTGAGTTGGGGAAAACAAAGTTTTTTCCATGCAAAAAAAAGGATTACAGGAAGATACAATTTGTGGTCTTTGAGGCTGGAATTGCTGGATGAATGAATTGACAGGTTGCTGAACTTTGAAAGCAAAGGGCAGTACTTTTGCACAATTTGTCACTTATTTCATTTTTGGAAAGAATTGTTGCATTTTTATTGCTCTTCTCTCCCAGTGGTGTCCAGAATAATAATCCAAAAGAGTACTCACAATTTGAGTTATACAGGCATTACGTTTGATTGGCATAAAACACTTTGTGTTGACTTCTTTTCTATTGGGGACAGATGTTGCCTCAATATAAGTTTAGTGTTCAAGCTGGATCAAAAGAGTAAAAAAGCATACAGTAAATAAAATACAGTAACGAGCCTTGGGCAGGGGCCAGAATTCTTTCTTGGAATTCCTTTTCTTGGAATGGATAAAAATATTTTATCCATACAATAGGTCTAATTGACATACAGTCAGACCCCTGCATGCGGACACCTTGACATGGGGACAATTTGACATAAGAACATTTATTTTTCAATAAAAAATCATAAAAAGAACCAAAATATGGACACTGACTCAACATGAGGACATATTGCATGATAAAATTTTCAAAAAATGTTAGAAAAATTGATTTTTATTAGGCTTAGTTGCAAGAAACAGATATTTCCAACCCTAAGAACTATACAAGAAAAATGCTTTGGTACTTCTCCCATCACTTCATCTAATTTAGAAAATTACCTATAGCACAGAGGGACTTTCTTCTCTCTTTGTGACTTGGATGTCATTTTTACAGATGCCAACATTTCAATGAACTGTGCAGCAGTATACTATTCAATGCTCCAAATGTTCTGACTGGGTTAAAAAGACATTCACTGAATCAAATTCAAGTGGCAATTTTTTTTCATGGAATTCTGAAGAATATTTCTTCCATAAAACACCAATTAAAAATTATATAATGTCAGTCTATGGGAAAACAAGACTTGACTTAGGGACAATTCACCTTAGGGACACTGCTGATGCACCAATTATGTCCGCATCTGGGGCCTCAGTGTATTAATGGAAAGATGTGTCAATTAGCCTTTTTTTCTGATACATCTCCAAAAATTACAATACCATGAAACAACTCATTGACATTTTCAACCCATTCAAAAGAAAGAGCCGTATCTGAAAAGTCCGTACACCGAGGCCCCAGTTCATATCATATATGTGACTCATTTATTGTATATACTCATCATTCCAGGACTGGAGGAATACGTAGAAGAAGAAGCTGAGGATCCCCCGTACTTTCGCCTCCCGTCCCATTTGGAACCCTACTTTTACAAAATCGAACTCTTGCCCTGGTTCGAAGGCCCGAGGAAATTCCAAATCGACGGACGCGTCGAGATCGACGTCGTTTGCATCCACGCATCCAACAACATCACTTTGGACCAGTTCGAACTCCTCATTGACGAAGAAACAGTCGTCATCACTGACGCTGAAAACGGACGCCAACTCCGAGTCCGGGGTACGAAGTACCAGGCCGTGGCTGAGTTTTACGTCATCACGATTGACGAGACGCTCATTCCTGGCAGGTACATTGAAATATTCCGTACTTTTTTTAAAATTACTAATTTATTAAAAAAAAATGCAGTAAAAACTTCTTTGATGAACATTTCCCCGCCATAGTCCCAAGGTATCTTTCCCCTTGACATCCTGACCGAAATTCGGGGTGTGCGACGTAATCGGGAATGAATTTTCCCTGAAAAATTTTCAAAATGTTAGTTTGCACCTCACAGCCAAATCACGACAGATTCTATGTTCGAAGAAAATTAAACTAAAAGAGGAAATTTAAAAATTTAGACTCAAATTAAATTTGAAGCCAACTGGAAAAAATCAGGTTATTTTTAAATGAATTATCGGGGGTTTCAAATAATTTTTCATTCCACGATTTAAAAAAAAAGATTATCACAAGGAACAACAGAGTATTCAAACAAACAGATATACTCAAGTTATATTTTTATAACAATCGAAAGCCTCAACATTTTTTTTTCAACTGAATTGAGAAAAAAAGCACCATTTTATTTTCCACAGACATTACAGGGTCCAAATGGAATTCGAGTCTCATCTGAATGATCTGTTGGTCGGATTTTACCGAAGCTACTACGACTTCAAGGGAGAGACAAGGTTTGTGTGATGTCAACGCCACGTATTTCAGCTTTTTTTATATAAATTAATTGAATATAGGATTATCGAAAATTTTTCTTTAAAAAATGTTGGACGCGGGGAATTAAATGAAAAATAGAAATCAAAATATAAGTGGACTCTCTCTCTCATCTCTATATACAAAGATTTCTCTGTGCAAATAATTTTCTGTTGAATTGAATTGGATTGAACAGCAAGCTTTACTTTCTGCTTTTCAGCATTCACAAGGTTCAAGCGATGTTCCCATGTCCTAACCCCCTAGTCCCTACCCTCCAAACCCACATTCATCCAAACACAGTATTCTTCACATCAGAATGGAAAACAAAGAAACAAGATGTACATCCAAATTAAAAGCAAAGAAAACAAATCCCTGAAAGTGCAACTGCTGCACAAATGATAAAAATACATACACTTTCTTCCCTTCCCTGATCACAAAAACCAAATATCAATAATAAGAATTGCAGCATAAAGCAATTACTAAACCCAAATTAAAGCAAAATACAGTGTTCACGCTGCTCCCAGATAAGGTTTAGTTGATTTAAAAATTTGGAGAGAATCTTTGATGAGAAATCATGCAATAAGATTAACAGATTATCTTGATCCTCTTAGATTTTGGTTAGAGTCTTTTCATTGAATTTCAAGAGTCCCAAATATTTTTGAAGCTCATTTCTGTAACTGTGGAAACAGGGTATAAGAAAAAAAGGTGCTCTGGTGATGCATCAACTAGTTTATTTATAGTGCAGAAATTACACCACTTAGACACCTTTAAAAATTTCATGAAATTTCTGTTGATCCCACGGATTTGTCTACCCATGTTATAAGGGTTCTCTACAACAAATTTCTCTCTAAAACAAAAATTCAATTTCCTTTGTATTTTCTCATCCCTGCAATGCATATTTTGGCATTCTTTCAACTTCGTCCTAGAAATAATTTTTGTGGAATTTTTTCTGGGCTTTGGGTATTTGGTTCCAAGTGAACCCCAGTACAACCTCAACAGTATTTGAGAATGAAATAAAATGACATTAAAATTTGGGTCTTTGATTTTGTATATATACAGGTGGATTCTTTCAACTGCAAAATTCGAAGAACCAGACAATTTTGCAACAAAGATAATGTTTTGTAGAGAACCTCTACATCAAGAAAAGAGAAGCCTTTGGGACATAAAAAAAAAGCTTTGTACAGAGAATATCCTTGCTGAAGACATGGTGGCAGAGAGAGAGAGGCCACCTGTATTCGTATGTCATTCGTATTAACCCAGCAAGGTCATCAAGTTATGCCATATAGTTTGAAGACCGACCCATGTTATTATTATTTTCTTTTCGATTGTTGCACCGAAAAAGGAATGCACATGCATTTGTATTTCTTTTTCTTCGTCGAAAAAAAAAAAAGAGTAATGGCTGTGAGCCAGTTCGAAGCAACTGAGGCCAGACGAGCATTTCCATGCTTTGATGAACCGCACTTGAAAGCCAACTTCTCCATCATCCTGGGTCGAAAGGCCAGCGACAACTGGACCTCCATCAGCAACATGCCCTTGCACGAAACTGTCCCCAAGTATGTCGGTATATTATTTTATTTTTTTCTTCATCAAAATGTACTTATTCACTTTTCTCAAACTTTATTTACATTGCAATATAAGCGATATATATATATTTTTTTTAATGAACATGAATTACTATGCAGTATGCACACAATACAGGTGAACCTTGATAAGTCAAACCTCCTTAAGTCAAATTCCTCCCTCGGTTGAATTTTTTTTCAAGGCCCTGTCTGAATTCCCTTAGATTCAATACATTGAAAATCTCCCTGACTCAAAGTCTTTTTCTCTAAAGCCTCTCTAAGTCAAATTTTCTGAGGCCTTCTGGTTATTACTGTACAGTGGACCCCCACCTAACAGACCAGGGATTGCATAAGGGATTTTTGCCTAACAGACCAGTTCTGCAGGCAGTTTTTTCTTTTGCCCAACAGACAAAATCAGCCAAACAGACTTGTTTTGGTTTTAAATTAGTTTTGACAATTGAAATTTTAAATTAGTTTTGACCATTGAAATTTTAGATTAGTTTTTACAATTGAAATTTTAAATTAGTTTTGACAATTGAATTTTAGTTTTGACAATTGAAATTTTAAATTAGTTTTGACAATTGAATTTTAAATTAGTTTTGACAATTGAAATTTTAAATTAGTTTTGACAATTGAAATTTTAAATTTTTTATACTGTATAATTGAATTTGTCTAAAGGACTTTTTGTCCAGCAGACTTGTCCTTTGCACAAATTAAGTCCATTAGACAGGGATTGACTGTATTTCCTTGAAATATGAAAGAGAAAAATCATGAAAACAAATAATTTGATGCATCTTGAAAGGAATTGAAAGACGATAGAGCATATGAACCCCTGCCTCCAAGTTCAGCAATAAGGTGTAAACTCATCAGGGATAAAGTTTAGGCCCAGAATATCCTCATTCATGATTTTCCACACTTTGTTCAGCACTTCTCCTCAGAACAAAAGTGTTTGGTTCCTCAACTGGAAACCTCCAAAAATCAAAACCTCCCAGACTCAAATTATTTTCCTGGTCCCTAGAAATTTGACTTACAGAGGTTCAATCATAAACGCTTTTGAGGTCTTCCACATTGCACAGCTGGGCGTCTTTCAGTTCATATAATACGCAGAACATGGTGTTGTGAATTTGTGATGGAAGACTTATTTTTATTTACGAGGTCAATAAATTCGCCAAGTCGAGTTTCCATCAGCAATTCCCACGATGGAAGATTTTTAGAAGAAAAATGGGAAAAATTGGCTATCATGAAAAAGTGTTTTGTCGGTAATTTTTAATGCCTTTCTGGTTGTTTTTTTTTTCTATCGGAACATGAAATGCTTGTTTTCAGTGACGAGCATGAAGGCTATGTTTGGGACAAGTTCGAGACAACGCCGAAAATGTCGACGTACTTGGTGGCTTTGTGCGTGTCGCAACTCGGCTTCCGGGTTCATCCGGACTCGAAATTCCGAGTAAGTTCATTTATTGCACACTTCGAAAGATTCACTAATTTTTTTCTTCTAAGTCTGTAAGAGTCTTTTTTTTTCGATTGAATCGCCACCGAAAATCAGGCGCAGAAATATCGAGTGATTCAGATGATGCACAAAAAAGCGTACATATATATATGTAGCATGATTTTTAGATTCTATGAATAAATAAAATTAGCTAAAAATAATAAAGTAAGAGACCCCAAAATGTGGACACCCCGACTTACGGACACTCGGAACAAAAAAGCTACTCCCAACATCCGGACAGTGACTCAAGATACTGGCATTTTCTCAAGATTTTTGGGGGAAATTCTTACATTTTTTATGCATTTTCGTACTTCAGCTATTTATACATTTATGAATACAGTACAGTACTACTGTATAAATAAATTTCATGATCAAACTATGCTAATTTTCTGCTCATTTTTTCCAGTTTTTTCCATCATGAGTTTACTTAGTATAACAACAAATTTTCTTGTTCTTTGCTTCTTAAATAAGCTCCTTCATCCCGTGCCAAAAGATCAGATTCCGTGTGGTTTTCTTTTGTAAATTCATTTTATGTATCTTGAAGTTGAGAACAATTTATTTTATTCAATTTTTCGGGGGGGGGGGACTTTTTCTCAACTATTCATTTACTTCAATAGGAGAACCAATTAGAAATATTTTCAATGAAGTATTTGGGGAAATGAGGTCTGACATGATGCGGACGCTCCGACTTAGGGACAAGGTCCATGCAAAAATTACGTCCGCATCTCGGGATCCCACTACAGTACTGCATGTATGCAGCTTTGACTGGGTTGCGGAATTCTTGGCACGATCGATTCGGGCTGCTCCGTTTTTTTGTCGTCGTTGAATTTCCAGGGATCGAAGTTGAAAAAATCTCTGAAACACGACGTTCGCTTTGTTAAAAAATTCAACTCAAATACATCAGCTCCTCCAACAAAGTTGACTGCAAATAATATTGCATCAATATTTTTTCTTTGTACAGTATTTTATTTTTTTTGGTGGAAGGTTTGGAGCAGGCCCGAAATGGTGCACATGTCAGATGATGCTTTGGAAGTGGGAGTAACGGTTCTGAACCACTACGAGCAATTATTTGCTGCTCCGTATCCACTGGAGAAAATGGACCTCGTCGCAGTTTCCGATTTTGCACAAGGAGCCATGGAAAACTGGGGACTCGTCACTTTCAGGTGAATACAACTTTCAACTGTATTTTAAAAAATGTTTGAACGTGTCGATCAATTTACCCCAAATATGGCGGATTGCTTGAAGTTCTGTAGAATATTAGCATAATAAAAATGGATCTAGGACAAATCGAGACAGACAATTGGGATGCATGTCCAATTTGATACAGAAACTTTTGGAGACCAGACAGAGTTTTGAGACATTTTGAGACAAGGACTATTTGGGACAGAAGCATTTCCTTGCTCTCATTCCTCTCTTTATCCATTGCAATACACTGTAATACAAATTAAAAATCAGAACATTCTTTATCATTTTTCTAAATGTTGGCAGAGGTAAACTGCACAAAATATTTTCTTATGACCAAGGCAAATCACACAAATTTCTATATACTGTATAACAAATTGTAAAGAAAAAATATATATAGCGCACAAGCATTATATAATGGACTGTCTCAAATTGTCCCTGTCTGATATTGTCCCTGTCTGATATTGTCCCTGTCTCATATTGCTCCTGTCTCATAGTGTCCCTGTCTCATATTTTCCCTGTCTCATATTGTCCCTGTCTCATATTGTCCCTGTCTCATATTGGCCCTGTCTCATATTGTCCCTGTCTCATATTGTCCCTTCTCCTATTGCCCCTGTCTCATATTGTCCCAGTCTCGTACTGTCCCTGTCTCTAAATGTCCATGACTCCAACTGTCCCTGTCTCTAAATGTCCATGACTCCAATTGTCCCAGTCTCCAGAAGTTTCTATTGAAAATTGTCCCGCCTGTCTAAAATGTTCTGTCTTGATTTGTCCAGTCTCAACTTGTCTGTCTTGATTTGTTAGTATTCCGTAAAAATACAACCCATATGTTCTGCAAACTCACTCTACAACAATTTTGTCTACACAGATTTTCTTAGCATAACAAAATTCTTTTTTTGTCTTATATAGGGGTCCCTACAACAAAATTGTCTCTACAACAAATTTGTCTCTGGTCCCCTAAATTTTGTTGTTGAGAGTCCACCTGACCCTTATTTTTTTAGACATTGAACTTGATAATTTTTTTCAAAGATCTCAAAGTATGGATTAATAAAAATAATAATGCGCCAATCAGTTATCAACTGCGAATTCCCATTTGAACTGGGAGACTTTAAATTGAAAGACGCTTAAAATAACTTGAAGATCAATAATATTGCCTTGTCCATCCCAAGACAGGATCAGAAAATTTACAATAAATAGGGATCCAATTTTATAATGATTTGAGTATTTTCAGAATTGACAGGTAATATCTCAAAGAAAAGAGATGGTTAATTTTGGGATTGTAGTAATCCCCTCAATAATTGTTACATCCTACATTTTCAACACAAATTGCACACATTTCCTATTTGTTTTAGACTTAGAGGACCTTGATTTCTTGGTTGAGTGAGATACAAATTAGGCAATACAGTACTGTGATGATGAACTGCAATTTTATATTTGTTGAACCAAAAGAAACCACAGTATTCCATTTACAGAAGCATGAAATCTTGAAGGATCAAGATAAATTTTTGGTCTTATATGATTTATCATCAAATATTCTCTCTAAATTGTTCATTCAACTAAAACTCATACAGAAGCAGGCTGAAGACCTTGTGCTTTAAATACACTTTTACTGCTGCTTTGTCTTCAATATTGGGGGATGAGTGGGTGTATGCATACATTTCTGGATGTCCAGTTTTATTTTGTGGAGTGTGTTCTATACAACCTTTCTTTCTTTCTGTCCGTTCTTTTTCGCACTTTATTATTTCCGTCTTTTTTGTTAATATTTGTTTGGTGTTTGTGTGCGCTTTTAGAGTGAGAGAGAGAGAGCGTCCTATGCAGGAGTCTTGGTTGTGCCTTGTGAATGCTGAAAAGCTGCAAATAAAGTGTTCTGTTCATTCATTCATTCAGAAGCATGGGCATGGAAACAATAGTTTTGATCCAAAGAAAAGCTCCAACAATTTAAAATGAATAAAAACTATTTCAAATTACTGTACGCTGTTGAGCAGAACGTAAAAATATCTTCTGTTTTTTTTAAAGAAACTCTGAAAAAAATGTTTTGAGTATGCGCTTTTAATCTTTGCCTTTAACTACTTTCATTCCAATACAAATTCGCACATCCAGAGAACAGTATTTGCTGTTTGACGGGAAATTGCATTCAGCGGACGCCAAATTCGACATGGTCACGTCCGTGGCGCACGAAATGGCGCATCAGTGGTTCGGAGACTTGGTCACTCTCAAATGGTGGACGGATTTGTGGCTCAACGAAGGCTTCGCCACTTTCATGTCCTACGAAGGCATCAAAAAGGTCAGCAACCTTTGTTCTATCTTTCCTCAAACCCCTCAGCATTAAAATATAAAAAAAAATAATATCCAGGAAATAAAAAAAAAGGAAGAGAGAAAAAACGACCAGGAAATGATTGATGATGAACCGCGCGTTACTGTGTTCTCTCGTTTAACTCGCGAAGACGCAGAAACGGTTCGAATGTAACTTTGTAAACACGCCACAGGAAAGATAAAGTAAGGGATACATTCCTTCCATTTTTTTTTCACAGAACAGGTGAAAAAAATATTGATAAAAATATGCCCAGCAACAGTTCCAAGGTCGAACCTCTTATACTATACGAGCCGCTTTGACTGTGTCAACATCCGTCTTGCGCAGTATTATATGGACAATGGCCACAGTTGCCCCCAAGGCACCAAAAAATAAAAAATAAATAAATGAAGATGAAAAGGGATTTCTATATCACTCAGTTCCTCTTCCATGAACCAGCTTTGCTTCAGCAGAGTTAAAAAAAAAATGAAGCACAACAGTTGAACTTCTTCAAGTGAAACTTCAATAAGGGACCAGTAGCAATTGTGCTGGGTTCTGTTAAGCTCCAATATAGGTTTGAAGAAAGAAGAAATAACTTTTCAACGCAATTTACTCCAAGATCCATCTTGTTCCCTGGGGAAACCCAGCCCAAAGAGACAGAAATACCCTCATCTAGAATTGAAGCTAACAGTTGCGAAGCCCGTTAAACCCGGGGAATCCCTCAATTCCGTGTCAGGTGAAAATTCAGATGCATAGGACGCTCTCTCTCTCTCACTCTAAAAGCGCACACAAACACCAAACAAATATTAACAAAAAAGACGGAAATAATAAAGTGCGAAAAAGAACGGACAGAAAGAAAGAAAGGTTGTATATACAGTATGTATGTGTGCGCAGCATTTGGTCAGTATATGAATACAGCGTCCCTGCGCTCACACCCACCAGACCATTTTCCAAGCACACAAAACGAATTCGTTACTTATGCAAATGAGCTTCTTCTTCTAGGCGTGACAAACCTACCGATCGCCGAACCTCTTGAACTCATGAGTGGAAGGAAAGAGCGTGAAGGTCTTCAACTTGTAAAGCACCGCGTTCGAAAAAACCAACTGCTGAGAGGATTGAACTTGCAATAAATAAGGCACCTTTAAATCAGGGCATTGAAAAAAAAAACGGTTACCTTATGGAAAAGTGTTTTCGAGAGGTGTAAAACTTTTTTTTTTGAAAAAAGGGAAAAAGGCATTTCTATCATGGCCGCGCAATATTTTTGGAAATCTGTTTTATAGAGAAAAAAGACATTTCAACTGTGATGATGAAACTAAAAAAATTTGATTTGCCTGTATTTTAATTTAATTATTTCTTCGAATAATAACTCTTGAAATCAGAATGATCACCTTTTTATCTGAAAAATTCAAAATTTATTTTTTGCTTAACTGTAATTTTTGTTTTATATTCGAAAAACCCAAAGCTGCTTTAAACTTTTCAACATGCACTTTAAAGTACACGTATCTTATTTGAATCGATTTGATCAAGTTTGAATGAGAGAAAATATTGCTTATGCATGAAATTTGTGATAAAAAAAGTTGGTCCAAATTCTGCAAGATCAGAATTGGATTTTCTTGTTGTTATGTTAATATTACTGTACTCCATTTTTCAGCCTGCATCGTCGGAATCAGCTTCAAAGAAACAAAACCCTTTCAAAATGTGCAGCGAAAATAATTGGGATGTAAAAAGGGTTTCGGCAGTCATCCTTCACTCATTTTCTAAAATGTGTCTGTGATGAATAATCTTCGATCCATCATCGTTTTCCGATTATAAATGGTACAGTACTACAATGCTCCTCCATTTTTTTGTTTGCCTTTTCCAGTATTGAACAGTGCTTTGTGAATAATTGAGTTTCAGTCGCTTGAAAAAATAAATGCAAGTACAAGTATACAAGCCATACGGGCATACATAAAGTTCAGAAGATTCCATCAACAGACATAAGATAAAGAACCAAAAAATCCAATTGAAACATCTGTATTTGAATGTATAAGAGCAGATTCATGCATGAATCATCATCATCCTGTGAAGGAAATTTCATTATGACAAATCATGTTACAAGGTTATCCTTGATAACTTGAACCTCCCTAAGTCAAATAACCCCCTAAGTTGAATTTTTTCAGTACCCCATCTGAATCCCCTTTGAAACAATCCATTAAAAACCCTCCCTAAGTCAAAAGCTTTTCCCCTTAAACCTCCATAAGTAGAATATCCCGTGGCCTGTTGGACATTATTTTCTTGACCCAAGAAAGAAAAACAGCAATAAAAACAGAAATCCATGCGTTTGAAAGGAAGTGAAAGACTTAATTAGGCAAATGAACCCCTACCTCCAAGTTTAGCAGCCTTTCAACTCATTTAAGAAGCCATTTAAGCCCCAGAATATCACCATTTAAAATTTTTCAAAGTTTCCCTAAAATAAGGGCTTTGCATTGTAGTTCAAACCCATATACAGTTGAACCTTGTTAAGTCAAACCTTCCTAAGTCAAATACCTCCCTAACTTGAATTTTTTAAAAGTCCCTGTCTATATTCCCTTTGAAACAATGCATTAAAAACCTCACTAACTGGAAGTATTTTTTTCTCAAACCTCTGTAAGTCAAATTTCCTGAAGCCTTTTGGTTATTATTTCCTTGAAATATGGAAGACATCATCCATAAAGCAAATGATTTTATGCACCTCCCTAAAACAAAAGCTTTTCCCCTCAAACCTCCATAAGTAGAATTTTCTGTGGCCTGTATTGGCCATTATTTTCTTGATCCAAGAAAGAAAAAAAGCAATAATAACAGAAATCCATGTGTTTGAAATGAAGTGAAACACTAATTGAACTAATGAACCCCTGCCTCCAAGTTCAGCAAGCTGTAATCTCATTAAAGGAGCAATTTTAGGCCCAGAATATCCTCATCTACAATTTCCCACATTTTTTTTAACTTTTCCTTCCAGCAAAATGTGTTTCCTTTACTCAAAAAATCAAAACCTCCCTTAGTCAAAAATTTTTGCAGGTCCCTTGAAATTCGACTTATAGAGAGGTTTGACTGTAATAAAACATGCACTGAATAACCATGAAAGTTCAAGTTTTCTCCATATGTGTAATACAATCGTAACAAGACCGATTGGCGGTATCTTTAAACAAATTTATGGAAGAGCCGGTGTCCCTCAAGATGAATGGTTCTGACCTTTCGGTGTCCAGCTGGTCCGTCGGTGGTGCAATCATCCAAGTTGCCCAGTAAAGCACCGAGAATTTAGGATTCACTTCTCGGAATACCTTGGGATGCCAACGCGTAATAAAATACATGGGGGGGGGGGGGGGGGGGGGGGGAGGACAAACGCATGGATTTCTGTTTTTATTGCTGTTTTTCTTTCTTGGGTCAAGAAAATAATGTCCAACAGGCCACGGGATATTCTACTTATGGAGGTTTAAGGGGAAAAGCTTTTGACTTAGGGAGGGTTATAGAGTTCCATTTTCAAGTTCTGCTTTGTACAAGCAAAAATAAAAGGATTGGGTAATTCGGAAATGGTTTTAGTGGTCGAAACAAGAAGCAAAGGATATATACTAATAAACTAAATGCTTCCTTTCGCTCGTGTGAGAACTGGGCGACGAGGATAAAATGCCCAAGGATAACATTTGGTATCGAAAAAAAAACCCACGCCGAATAAAATAATAATAAAAACATGGTATCAAAGTCAGGCAATAATTCCATCTATTTAAAAGTAAATTACTGAGATTCATTCATTTGAATCCAAACGCGCAATAATAGAGAAGAAGGGTAGAGTTCAAATTTTATATTTTGCTAGAGAAGGAAAAGATGGGGAATTCGTGAATGATCCCAGTGAACAAAACAAAAAGCAATGGATGCCAATAAAGAAATTCAAATCTTCTACAGTACAGTGAGACCCCAATATGCGGACACCCCAATATATATATGGACATTTCAACTTAGGGTCACTTGAAAGCCAAACAAAAAATCAGGCCCAACATACAGAAATTGGTTTGAGTTAGGGACATTTTTCTGAAATTTCCCCAAAAATTCAAAACTTTAAAAAATTTTGATGTACAGTATTTCAAAGAAATCAAGCTATTAATTTGTGTTCACAAGAATTGAAAAAAATATATTCAATGATAAACTCACTCTAATCCATAATCAAAATCAAGCTGAAACCACTGTAAGTTGAATTTTCTGTGGCCTGTTGGCTTTTATTTTCTTTACGCAAAAAAAAAAAGAAAAAGCAATAACATCAGAAATTTATGTGTTTCAAAATAGGTGAAAGACTTAATTGAGCAAATGAACCCCTGCCTCCAAGTTCAGCAGCCTTTCAACTCATTTAAGAATCCATTTCAACCCCAGAATATCACCATTTACATTTTTTCCAAAATTCCCTGAAAAAATGGCTTTGTATTGTAGTTTGAACCAATATACCTGTATTTACTCAAGTACCACGCGCCCTAAAGTAAGGCATGCACTGGCTTTTTTCAGTTGGAAATTTGGCTAAAATTGTATCCCCAAGTATGACTTGCACCCCAAACAAAATTTTGAAAATAGAAAGAAAAAGTTTGACGTTAGACATGAATTTAACAAAAATCTGAACAATTTTCAACTTTTTCAGTACAAAAAAGTTTTCTTGTCACTTTTTTTCCAATTTCTCCATATATGATTAAGTATAATGCAGATAGAACTTTCTAAAAATTCTTCAAAAATTTGTACCCGCTTATGACGCGTACCCCTTCTTTTCTTCTGAAATTTGAGAGAAAAGGTGCGCTTGGTACTTGAGTAAATACGGTAATTCAAAACCTCACAAAGTCAAATTCATTTGCTGGTCCCTTGAAATTCAACTAAGAGAGGTTCAACTGTATAATTACAGGATTTAAAAAAATACAAGCACTGCATTATTTCTGAGCATGCAAGGAACAAGAGAATCATTCCAGAGGACACTGTTGACAGCCTAAAAATAACCCAGACAGCTCATAAATGTTTCATCACTTACTCATGTATTCCAATATTGCAATCCGGACCATATCTAAAATCTAACCCCATCTCAAGATAATAAATATTCGAAATGCGTTTCTCATCATCCATCGTCTGTCAAACTGAGCTGAATCCTTTTTTTTTTAACGCTGGGATTTATTTTTTTCCAGTATGCTCCGAATTGGCCAATGGATGAACTCTTCTTAGTGGACATGACTCAAAATGCTCTGGAACTCGACTGTCTCCTCTCATCGCATGCTGTCATGGTTCCAGTGGAACATCCAGACGAAATCGCAGAAATTTTCGACGTCATTTCGTACGAAAAAGGTAAAAAAAATAAAATCGTACAGCTAAACCATACAAAGACTTCATTGAGAAAAAAAAGCCTTCCAGAAACGTTGCTTTTCGCGCTTTTTTCTTTCTTTCTCGAAATAGCTCGCAGTTCTTCTTCTCTTATATCGAAATGATCCCCTCGAAATTTTTTTTTTGCTAATTTTCAAGTGGTTCCGTTTTCGAATCTGCAAATTTTAAATGCTGGTGCTCATTATGTTTATTAACAACAAGACTAGAGGAAGAAATTATCGTCAATATTAGGTTTATTGGTGCTTGGCGAGATCCAAGCACCAATTACGTCCGCATCTCGGGGCCCCGTTGTATTTCTCGTTACGATTCCACAATTTTTAAAGTAGATGTCGCTGCTTGATCCCCAAAATAACTCTGTTGTCCCCCCCCCCCCTCTCAACGTCACTTCATTTCCAGAACCACTGACCTCTACTCCTGGGCATCCTCAACGTGAATGGTTTTTAGCTTGTTAGTAGATGTCGCTGTATGTTCCAAAAACTAGTTACAGTTATTTATTCGCAATCACAGGAGCAGCGCTGTTACGCATGATGCAGCATTCACTCGGACCCAACACGTTCTTTGACGGCGTTCGTCATTATATCGGTAATTTTTCGTATCGAAATGCGGAATCAGATGACCTGTGGCTCCACATTGAGTACCAGGCACGCCAAGACGCCGCCATTCCGCATGACATGAACGTGAAAGGTGTTATGGACACTTGGACTCTGAAGCAGGGATATCCGGTGGTAACACTGGTGCGCAATTACAGTGATCCTCGCGGGATGGCGATCATTACACAGGTTCGTGTGACTAATCAATTGTTAATTAGAGTTGCATTTCCAGAAATCAACAGCCCACTACTCTTCCTATATGTGACCAAAATGGCACAAAAAGGCGGAATTTCGAAAAATAAAACACTTTCCTCCCTTCCAGGAATCCGCGGGGCACCTGATTGGCTGAAAGCCACAGGTGACTGATTCTATTACGCAATAAACATGGACTGCCATCTAATGGCAGTCCAGAATTTGAATACTCTCAAAAGTTCTAAAACATTCTCGATTACTCGAGAGAATTAAAAGTGCGTGACGTCATGGGCAGTCTAATTATTCCGTCACACTATACTTCAAATACAATACAGCATATCCCTTATGTCAAATCTTTTTTTTTTTCCAATTTCCTGTCTGATTTCCTGTATTTTCCTTACAAACAATGCATTTAGAACTTCCCAAACTTGAAGGTTCTCTTACTTAAATCTCTATGGCTCAAATTTTCCATCAGAGGCATTTTGGCTATAATTTTACTGACACAGAGAAGAAGAAAATCAATAAAAAGTTTAATGCTGTGTTTTGATTTGTTGGGGAGTGAGTCGGGCACCTGTGAATATTAATTATAATAATCCCCCCCTGCACTGCTGCAACCCAAAAACTGGTCCTTCGCATCAGCCACCAGCACCAAAAAAACAAGTCCCAAAGGAATTGTAGGATGATGCACAGCATTGTCTTCAATTCCAACAAAATCAGCCAATCAGAGGCCAATATTTTGCCCACAAGGAAAACCACTTTTCCTTCTCTTTCTTCTGTCTCCAAAAACATGTAACAATGAATTCCATTTCACTGCCAATTCTTGAAGTGTGAAGAGCTCATCTTAAGACATTTGATTTTATTATTGTGTTGCTTGAAATGTGCGTGCAAGGTTCAAAATTCTTTGAGTTGCATTATTCTTTTGGACATTATTAAATACTCAATTCTTTTGGGGCCTCTATAAAGAGGCTCCCAGCCAGTCCCAGGCTGATTGCTGTGTTTCATTTGAAATTCTCATATTTTCTTTGTTAGGACTTCTTATAGTCACTAACATGATTGAAATAAATTGAACCACTAATTGGGTTTGGGTATATAAATGAGTCCTTGTCTGCAATAAGTTCTGCATTTCGACAATTAATAACGAAAAAATAAGTATACCATACTTATTCAGGTAATATGTAAAGTTCAAAATCATGAGTCTGATTTATGTTCAGATATTCAAGTGCATATGCAGAAACCCCAGAAGATAATCCTCTGCTGGTGATACAAAATTGGTTTGCTGACGTCTTAACCTTTCAGAGCACTGAAATCCCCACAGGAATCATGCGGAAAACTTCTTGAATTCATTTTTTTTTACGCTGAAAAGCAAAACTTTTAATCCCAACATCGCAAAGAGGCTGGTGTGAATCAATTTCCCGCTCTGCTGAAACACACGTGACACTATAAGAAAGAAACCTGCCTGTGATGGATATACGAGAATCCTACACCATATACAGACTGGATACATACACGCGTGGGGAAAAGAAAGTTCTTCATAAAACTTACCGTAACTATTAACTTCTTCTGATTGCTTTGCTTATGCGATCCAGGGCCAGGGTCAACGTTGGGCCACGTACGTTTATATATATGACCCAGGTTCGCATTCTCTTGCAAATAGACGGGATCTGCTACTAGGCAGAACTTGGAGAGGTTCTTTTTTTATCCTCTGGATTCCGAGAAACACAAGAAGTAGCTCATCGCTGTTAATGAATACAGTATTATCATGATAAATCATTTTTGAAAATAAAAATTCAAGCAGAATTGGCTGCTTTATTCTTTTGATCACTTACATTTGAACGCACGATACCCCGAACATATTCGGAAACGATTGAAAAACTATAACTTTTCCGAATAATTCGAAAGGCATTTTCTCTCGTGAATAATGAATAAAAACCAAGTGTATCTTTTGGTTCTTTTTTCCTGTGTCTTCTTTCTTTCTTCGAAATTAATATCATGATGTCTAAAGCATTTATTGAAATAAAAGTTGAGAAGCCGTGCTGTTAAAATATTCCAATGCGGGCTGATAAAATATGTACAGTAATTAATTTTCTGGCCTCGGGTAAATTGAGGAAAACAAGAACTTGTTTTCCAAATTTAGCTTTTCTTTCTCTTGTAGGAAGGAAAAAATAATTTCAAGAACTTTCTACAAAGCTGTTCAGGAACGTCCTGATATTTATAGCATCTTTTTTCCTAGAGAAAATAAAAATTTTAAAATCACAGTACGCTTCCCAACTTTTGGCTCTTTCGCAGGGAAATTGTATAGAAAGATCTTTTGGTTGCTTTCTTTGTCCTCGTAAATGAAAATACGCGAGGAAAAATCTGAAATCGCAATTCAAAAATCGTGAGTAGTACAGTATTAAAAAATAATTGTTCTTCAAAAATCTTTGACTGCATCATTTTTATGAAGGATCTGTGGGAAATCAAGACAGAAAATTTGAGGCAGGGATAATTTGAGAGATAAACTTTTAGAGACAGGGGCAATTTGAGACATTTTCAGACAGAGGCATTAGAAAAAAGTTTCCTGCGTTTCTCCCAACTATCTTATGTTGAGGGTTTGAAAAGGAACAAAAAGGGCATTGTTTGGACAAAATGTATGTTAATTTTACTTCCCATGAGACAAATAATTCAGACAACAATTGGAAAAATAATTGAAATAATACAGCAACTAAGATTCTTATTCAATTTCGCCCTTGACTGACAACAGAAAAGGGAAAAGGGCTTTTAAAAAAACCCTATTCAAGTGCAAGAAATCAAGTGTAAAATAAATAAATAAATGTTGTGTGCAGAGGTTAGGGGGGGGGGGGGGGAGGGGCTTGGGAAACCAGAAAATTAAGTGTAAAAGAAAAAAACCATGTGTTTTCAGAGTTTCTTTGGGACCATCTCAAATTGTCCCTATCTCATATTGTCCCAGTCTCAAAATTTCCATCTCTCCAATTATCCCGTATCTAAATCACAATGTCTTAAAAGTTGGCCGTGTCTCAAATTGTATGCATCAATTTGTATAGTCTCGAATTATTGTCCGTCTCGATTTGTCCGTATCTGGTTTATAGAACATCAAAACATATGTTGCATGACCTAATTCTGGAAGGAAACATTCTGAACTTTTCGAAAAGCCATTGAGTCATTGAACTGACGGTTTGAAAGGATGAAAAGTAAATAGATGCATTGCGTAACACTTTTATTTGTATATCTGTCTGCCTGTATAAAGCGGTACATTTTAATACTGTAACTCAGTAGATGAAAATGCCGGAGTAGCTCGTGAAAGCAATTTTATATTTGCCTGCTAAAGATATACCTTTGAACATACACTCAAAAATACATTTTACGTCTGAATTTCAATTCATTCTTGTCTCCTGCTGTGTGTGTATATATCGTATACATCTGGTAGGAAACTTCAACATCTCAACTTCCGTAATTTCCGGCAGGAAAAAAAAACCTCACGCGTTGACCTGAAAGCGGCTTTGATGCAATTCTGAGGAAGAAAACCCTGTCGGGAAACTGACACATTCTGCACGTGAACACATCACAGTCAATTTCTTATGCATTTTTCACATTGAGGTGGGGTTTACTTTAGATACTATCCCGAAGAAAAATGAAACCTTTTCGAGATGAAAGTAAAGTTTTTCACTGAGAATGATAGGATACATTTTGCGTCTAATTATTATATTTTTGTTCAGTGACAGGATTGATTTGTGAGACTTTATTTATGCAAATGTCAAAGAGCAACCATGTAGTCTTCTTCCAGGGAATAATATGTGCATGCCATTTCCTTGAAAACGTTACTTAGAAAATTGGTCCCTCTATCCGTCAGAAT